GCTGATGGTCCGCACTCTGGTCCATCGCTTCGACCTCTCCAGTGGAAAGATCATCATAGGCTGTGACGGGCAAGCAGCACTGAAAGCACTGGAATCCATCTTTGAGCCAACCAGCAACAAAAGGGACTATGACCTGCGCGTGGAAGGCAGAGCAGTACTGAAGCAACTACGGAAGCGCAAAGTGCAAGTTCTGTACCGTTGGGTGAAAGGGCACCAGGATGACGACAAGAGACCCACCCGGCGACTCCGACCGGAGCTGCTGCGTGGAAACGACCTCCACCATGGCTGTCTGGACCGATGGGCTATTCTGAATATTGAGATGGACACCAGGGCAAAAGCACACTGGGACCGATAAAGTCTAGGAGCGAGAGCTCTGGATTCCGTCAGAGATAGCTCCAACAGCTATGCTGGCCTACAGATCCAGCACCCACAGCTGGCTTATCTCCAGCCAAAGCAGCAAGAAAGGATCGTCCTTTCTACCATAGTTAAGAAAATAGTACGAAAGATTGAGACCGATCCTGTTAAGAAAATAGTACGAAAGGACTAGTTAGCTAGTTACCATCGTGAGGTACATCCTCTTGTTCCAATGAAACTGAATGCTATTCCCCTCGTGTCGTGCGAACACCCACATAAACGACTCAGTTGCTTGGGCCCTCGGGCTCGATTCGTACCAGCGTTGACAAAGGTCCTCCGGACCAGATAGGTAGTCTGCCTAAAACTAGTACTTTTTATAGCATTGAGACCGATCCTGATTAGCTTGTAGCCCCTTTGATACCGCAGCAGTTGATACCTATCCTGTTGAGGCCGGGCAGAAGCAGTAGGAGGTAGCAGATAGTACTGTTCCCAGACTGCCACTGCACGATTGAATAACGAAGGCCCCCAGCTCCTGAGGAGAGCTGGCTCAAAGGGCCCAGCAGAGAGCTCTGCTGGCCCTCCTGTCTGACTGACAGGGCCAAGTCCTTGGTTTGGTGCCTACTGGAGGTGTTGGAACACTGCTGAGGCACGACAAGGCTCCCTGAACTGCCTGACTACCGCTGTCCCTGAGGAAGGGTTTCAGCGAGGTCCAGTCCACTACTTCAGTACTGGAACTGAACCTTCTAGAAACTTATTGGATTAACAGTCGCATAGATTTGCAAGCAGTTCTTAAGGGAAGAAGAGACCTCCTTGACGAGAAAAGGATCTCTTTGAAATACAACAATCAGTGCTACAGCTACAGTTGGATTCATTGAATTTCATTGGCATTTTGAGGTGGTTTCAAGGCCCATTTTGAAGTCCTAAGTCAACAACCTTCTGATCGATTTTGATAGTTCCAGTCGCCACCACAGTGACAGGAACCTTTGACTTGGCCATCTACCATCTACAAGACCAACACAAAGCCTATTGCCATTGCCTCGAGGACCTATATTCGACAACCTCATTGACGACGGCAACACAAGCTACAGCTTCCTGTTGACACGACAAAAGCACCCAATTTGCTCTGAAGAAGCACTGGGAGCTACCGTGAAGGAACACCTGGAGTCTCCGAGTAAACGAAAGACTTATTGCTTTCGCACCTATCTTGGCAATCGAGCAAGCCTTTTACGTATCGAGGAACTTGGCTGTTTATCAGGAGCACCAGCACGATATTGCTCTTGGTTTTGGGCTTATCCCTTTTCGATTCATTCAGCGAATCGCGTGATTTATTGCGCTGTACGCGGCATATATCTTCAGGACCTCCGTGCAGTTTTCGAGTGTCACGAGTTTCCGTCCTGTATCGGATTCAGCCCTTTTTGGAACGTTGAAGAAGATCTCACGGAAGCTGATCCGCCAATCAAAACGTCCGTGCAGTTTCGAAGTTCACCTGACAGTGCCGGTATTTATTCACCGTGCACTGAGTCAGTTTGCGAGTTCTTTTTCGACTCTGGATCTCCGGAGACTTAAACGACAACAGTTCCCCGTACCGAAAGCAAGCTCAGCCTCAGTAACCTCTTTGCGCTCACATTTTAAAGGTTTTACGTGGTCGAGTCATTGAAATCGAGTACCGGTACGGACTCGAAATCGCGATCTCCCTACGGAGTGCCCAAACTGAGTAACTCGCAGGGCTCCGAGGCAACCAAGAGGTCAATTCGCCTGGCTGAAACTGTTACCAGTGGATCCGCCATCCCTTGTTTAGTCAGTGACAACACCAGCTTGGATTCTGGGAGCTTTTGTGGGGAGATTCATTGATCCCAGAAAGCTAGCTTACAGTGAGGCAAAATCTCACAAATCCAGGCCAATTCCCAGCACCACGGCAATTCAGGAAGCAGGTTCCAGACCCTCTACACTGGCTACCTTATTCAACTACACCTAGATTGAATTTCCAGGCCCATAGCAAGGTTCCTGGAGGTCATCTTTTGGATTCCAGATTACAGTTGAGCCAGCTTTATTCACTGCAACAAGAGCTGAGATCCAGTGTTGCACCAAGTACAGCCTACACCTTCTTCCTGTGACAAGACAACAAGAGGCACAATGTCTAGCTATACCGACCAATGCTGGTGACACTACTCAGACCAATGCCCATGCCAGCACCAATCCATCTTTTGCAATCCTTGACAAGGCACCGGCATCACCTGTTCCCAAGCCACTTGCTACCCCAACAGCCTATGAAGTGGCAGAGGCCATATGTGGCTTCCAACCAATAGCAACAATGTCACCATCCAACTCAAGACATGGGATGGCAAAAGACACTCTCCTGTGGGAGATCCGGTCGCTCAATTTCGACGTGACTGATGTGGCTAGACGCATGATGGCCTACAGCAGGGCTAGAAGACCGATGGAACAACACAGGCAGCAAGCAGCTACCGGTAGCGACTACAGGGCCAGGCACCCCAACCACCAGGCAGTTTCCCAGCCAGCTTACAGTGCTACTACTACTGCAACAAGTGGCAGCTTCTCTACTAGTGTGCTGAGTGGTCAATTGACAACAAAAGACTGAATGATTCAGTCTTTAATGTGCATTTTCAACAATCCTCTTTGATACTTTGGGATGGGTGCTCCATTCTTCATGCAAGGCCACCCACTCCTCTACCATACTCTACAGTGCAGATTGAGTGCTGAGAGTGAGGACAGGATCACCATTCCCATAGAGAAATCCATGGTGGAATGACAACAAAATGGAATCCAAGCCTGATTTTTCATAGAGGCTCCATAGAAAACCTTGGAGTTGATTGACTCTTTTCAAGGAGAGTGCCTGTGAGTGTGTTGGGGAGCTACTGCTAGCAAAGAGTCAATCAGATCAATGTATTGGTAACGATAAAGTTGAGAATATAAGCAGTATATATACAACAGAAATTGCCTCTCAGATACCGAGCAAGAAACACATTTTACAGAAGTTACTGGATTAACAGTCAGCCCTACTATAGTGATTCCCCTCGGTCATCCTATGTAGCACATGGTCTCGAGGCCTGTAGTTCGATACTCGGTCGGTACAGTATCTTGCTTCCACCTCGAGGAAAACATACCTCTGTCGGAAAGGCAACTAGTAAGTATGCTCTAGTCGTAATAGCCCATAAGTACTCTCATGCATTCTACAAGTCTGCGGTTAACAACACTGCAGGGCTAGAGAGTCACGACAATTAAGTACAGGTGCCCCGTGAGTACCTCCCTACTACGTAAGCGTGCACAGTTCCGGGGGAGATATAGTCTTCGATTCCCCGTGACTCCTTCGTACCATTCCTTCGTACAAGACTTGGGGGGAGAAGTTCACCTCCAGGCTTAGAGGCGGGCACGTCTCTACAGCCGAATAGTACAATAGACGTTTCATTAGATATTACCGGAGACTATGGGGGAGTACCCTTCCCATCGTGACATCAGTCTTCGTCGGATGTCTAGTGATTCCGCGTCTAAGACCTTCAGATGGCTCTCCACATGCCTCAGTTCGTGAGTTAAGAGAAGACCACGTACTAGTAAGCCCAACTTCGTACTAGTACACGCACAGTCAGTTCCCTTCCGTATGCAAGATAGCATCAGTTCGCTTCCCTTGTATTTGCTCGAAGAACACCATTCTTTACCACGTACGTAAGTATCGCTCGTAAGATCATTCCACCATAGTCCCGGGAATTCCAAGAGGTTCCTGGGGGAGCAATTGCGCAAGAACACGTACCTCAACTGACGTACGCACCTTCACTGACGTACGTACTTGAGAACCCGAAGAACCTTCCATGACACTCGAAGGCTAGCGCTTGAATACAGGCAGCGCTAAAGCGTAAATAAATACCTGCATGCATACCAGTACGTGCGAATTAGTGCTGGGTGATTCCAACTGCTCGAACTCGGGTTTCACCATGATCTCGAGAACGCGGCAGAGCTGCATAAGCTGTTCGGCAATGGGGGAGCGATAAAGTTGAGAATATAAACAGTATATATACAACAGAAATTGCCTCTCAGATATCAAGCAAGAAACACATTTTACAGAAGTTACTGGGTAAAGCTAATAGCCATTTGGTCAACACTGTTGCCATGGTGGCAAAATGCATTTTATTTTCTTCAATCTTTTCTTTCTAGGAAGTAGTCATTACTATGCAGGATTCGCCAAATGACCTTTTTTATCAGAAATGACCGCTTCCGATTTTGGTTTGGCCAAAACGAGAATTCATTTTGACACCTGTCAGCGGTGAAAGAAGTCATCCTAGTTTCGAGCTCTCTAAGATGCCTGTCATGAAAGATAGATGAAGAAACTTCATATATGTATAAATTTTAATGAACAATCTGAATGCTGGGTCCTAATTGGCAGCACTGTCTCAAACTGCCACAAAGCACATTCACTTGCAGTCATGAGAACTAGTGACTCAGGGGGGGGCAGCCCTGAAAAAGAGGAACTGTGTAGAGTAATGGAACTTAAGAAAACGGAACTTAAGTGAGTGTTGACTGTACTATTTTCCATTGAAAATGTTTGATTTCAAAGTGTAGCTTGCCAAACAACCAGACATGCGGTACCCATGCTTGCACTAACTACTGTACTACTGTACTAGGTATTACGTACGGAGTACGGTAGTAATTCTCTGAGCCCAAGAAGCCAGAAGAAGGCGCTGTCTGTCCCCGATCCTGTCCGAGCTCCGATCCCACCATTTCTGATGGTCAGCCAGCCAGCTGCTTGCTGCTGTTTGTACTGCGCACTATGAATCACCAAATAAAAATATTTCAACCTCTGCCTGGTAGCTGTGGGGAAGCTTCGTTGCAGCTGTAAGAACCGATTGAAGAGTAATGTTATGGATGATAGGCTATGGCGCTTGATAAAACGCTACAGAAATAGAGAAGAGTCAACCCATTACTTGCGTGAAAACCTAAAGAGCTCCTTTTAGTAGTCTGCAAGCTTGCGGAGCAATCTCTCCCCCAAAGTCGGGACAACCTTGCGGTGAGGCTTGTTACCCGTGGGAGCTTCCCCGTGGCATCGCTGATCATGACGGTTTCTATCCGAGACTTCAGACTGTTCAAGTCGAAGAAGACGTTGACGCGACAAGAGGCCCTCCGAGCTACTGCATTCCGTGACGCCATCAAGAAGAGCAAACACAAACGAGCAGCCGCTAAAATTGTCACTCCGTTCCGGCGATTTGTGCGTCAATTCAAGCGGTTGTGGAAGTACTACACCAACCATCGTCATGAAGTGAGGACTCCCATCTTCTTGGTCCTCTGGTTGGGGTGGTTGTTCATTGGGACCACCTTTTATGCGTACGCACCCAAGAGCAACCTCGGATTGGTTCGCGGCTTTTACATGTCCTTGAATATTGGCTACTCCATTGGTTTCGGATATCCTGCTGAGAACTCCCACTCTTACCTCTGGTTCTCCATTTGGTATGTCCTCTGTGGAGCTTCCTTTGTCGGTGTGGCTCTTGGTTTCTTTGCCGATGGGATTGCATCCGACAATCAATCCTGGTTCACTCGCTTGGAACAACAAAAGAAAATCGAAGCCGCCATTCGGAAGCGAGAGACCAAGTTATTGGGAAATATTCGAGCGTGGGTTTACCACTGCCGTCGAGCCCTGCGAGCACTCTCCATTTGGTTCGTATTTGTTCTTTCCATGGTCACGTACTCGACAGTTGCCATGAGATGGCCCTTGCGAGAAAGCCTCTACTTTGCCATTTCCAGTCTCAGCACGGGAGGACACTGGGCCATACCCCGGGAAGCACCCGATTGGATCTTTGGAGTGACGGCAGCACACATTATGTTTGGTGTTCCTGTAATGGGAGCCGCAATGGCCTCATTGGCCATGATGTTTATTGAACAGGCGGGTCTTGATGAAGCCAAAGCAACCATTGACGAAATTGTCACTCGAGACGAAATTGTCTTTTTGCAGGAACTTGGTTTGGAGAACTTTGATGGAGAAATTGACAAGTCAGAATACATCATTCTCTGCATGGTACGCTTGGGGACTGACCCCGGCTTGATCAAATACATCACCGAACGGTTTGCAGAGCTCAACTTTTACTCGGGGAGATCCTTGTCTGTAGCTGAAATTACCCACGGAGCTTGCCGGTTTGTGGATGGAAGAATACGACGGCGGGAATCCGTCCAACACTCAAATACCTTGCATACAGTTACCGAACATGAGATTGTGTTGCATGATGATGTTGCCGTTTCGGATTTCTTTCATGATGACGATGATGCAGAGACCTTTGCTGCCGACTACCGACTCTCCTACCAAAGTATTCGACAGTCCTTCATTCCAACCAGTATACTGGAAGAATGTGAAGATGAAGCAGAAGAAAAGGAGGAGGTTTATGAAGACGACTATGACATCAATAACAACAACAACAATGTTGAATCTGCAGTGGAAGTTTTCCACGACGAAGAAGCATCAACCAATAGTGATGACGACGCACCCAACTTCACAACAAGTGTTGAAAGCTCCGATCACTTTCGAAGCAGCACAGCCAGCTCAGAGGCGTCTTTTCTGAGAAGCCTCGTTGAAAAATTCGGGCTTCCACTAGCAGGGAGCACACGATCCAGCTGTACAAAACACAACAAAACAGATTCCACAACTGCAAGTTCCACTGGTTGCAACGAAGTCGCATTGGACGAGTTGGAATGCGGCAACGCCAATTCACCTCCGAATCCGATTCAGAAATTCTTTCATGATTTGAAGCAAGAGTGCCTTCCTTCCGAGTCAAACAGCATGCTCCCTGCAAAGACGAACCCGAATTCGGCAAGCAGTGCCGACGACAATGCTGGAAACCATCAATCGCCGTCGTCTTACGAGGCACAGAGCAGGACCATATCGCCAAAGCAGGCGCCTTATGATGCGACAACAAACGAACGGCAGCAACACAGAAGCTCGAGGATAGAGCGGCCGCGCGACAAACTACCCCCCGAAACAAGCGAAGAGACGCTGTACAGCGAACGCGAGAGCGCTCCATTCGTTGCAGATCCTATGAACGAACTGAGCAACGAGAAAGCAGGATACCAGCGTTCTCACGATGTAGTATCCTTGGCCTCCAGGTCAACGTTGCGGTCGCCAGCGTCACGACACGACTCCCCATCGCTGCCAGACCGAGTGATTACTGCTTCAAAAGACTCCCTCCATCCTCCAACAGACTTGCTCGATGTGCCATTACGCCACCCTCCACCCAACGAAGTCGTATTTGCGCCCAAAAACTCGCTCCACCCGCAACATGACCGTGCCGATAAACCATATCTGAACCCGCCTCCACCAGACGAGAGCGAATTCGTCCCGAAAGATCCCCTCCATCCATTGCCTGATCCCATTGATTCAGTCGTCCACGTGGAAAAGCCTGCTCGAAGATCCTACGTGAACTACGCTAGCTTTCTCTACAACTCGAGTCAAAACAGTAGAGACGACGCACAAATGAGGGCATTGGCAAACATCAACCAACTAGAATACGACTTGGAGGCAAACGGACGCACAATAGACTAGCCAGAGTGCATCCACTGCATGAAGTGGCTGATCTACGGCAGCCACTCAATTTGCAGTTGCTTGCACAGTTGCGCGACCGTTTGACGATTGAGGTCACAAGGCATCCCGACAATCTCCTAGTAGACCATACGACTCTCCAGAAGTTGCGTCTTGGAGAAACGTGGACACAAACGAATCCCTGCGTTAGTGATCGGAAATCTTTCGCGGGTAGACCCGGTGGCAAGTCGGTTGAAGCGTTCTTTGCGAGGTTGAAAAAGGAAGGTTGTGAAAACCTCCTCTCTTCTTCCTCCCTGAAATCAACCGTACGCCATAGCAGTACTGGTACAAATGTAGAATACGACATTGTTTAACTATCTAACTCGACTACTTGATTGATGCCAAGCATACGTACAGTGTACCGGTACCAGAAGTTTTGGTTCTGCAAAACGCTCTTGCCTGGTGCCGACTTTTCGCAGGTGAAACCACCAAGCGGCGACATAGCTCTGCAGTAGTACATGTAGCCAGCTTTGCAACAGGTCCCGCTGTTGTTCTGGTTGCTCTGGCGAGTACTGACATACACAATGGTACAAGATTGGACTTCCTTCAATATCCTTTCTCGACGTGATGCACAGCTTTAGACGGCATTGCATGTTTGCTAGCAGAAATGGCGAAGAATTGATTGGAGGAGCATGGACAAAGGACGTGAATTCGTAAGGAAACACCTGGTTTTGGAGGCTTTGTAACTTCAAATGCGGTGCGTGGTACAATCGTAGTAAGTGCGCCTGAAGCCTGGTATAGAGCGCCGCATGTGCTGGTTTTCTTGCCAGGTTTGGGAAGGCACCGTATCGGAAATGAGCGAATGGCAAACAGCCTGACGGCATAACTGATTCCATTCATTTTCACTTAGTTTTGCCGTCTGGAAAGCTGAGCAGAACCAAAGCCACTGACACAAAGAGTGCTGTCTCTTTCAACTCCAGTTGCAACCAGTCTCCTACTATGCCAAATGCAAGTTTGAGTCTGCATATAATTTACGTTGCTTTGCATCGAGTCATGGCCAGAGAGTAATGGTACCGGTATGGTTCAGTCGTACCGGTACGACTGTACTGCATGCAGAGCCTGGAGCCCATCAGTTGCCGCCACTCACGAGACCCTCACTGCGGAGCTCTTAGCGTACCGGTAGCGCCATTGAGACTGTCACTCTTTGCAAACCGCACCCTACCGGTACCCTACCGTCCTGTACCGTAACTACCGGTACATCGTAGCTACCGTACCCAGCCAAAGAAGCAAAACTGATCAGTACAGTACTCAGTACAGTACCGTACAGTTCGAGCCCAGCCGAGCGCATCATTCAAAGTGCGACTGCTGGCATAATGAGGAGTCATTTGATGACCCTGCATAAAAATGTATTATAGTACACTTTCCATGACGAAAAGTGAGTTAGAAGTAAAGCCTTCTCCGAGTGCTTTTTATCTATTTCAAGTCATTGATGGCTTCTTTTAGTTATGTGGCTCTTGCCCTTGGTAGGAAAAGAGTCTTTCGTTGATTTCTCTGCCAGTTTAGAGTGCTGTTAAAAAGCGCGAACGATCACTCGAACCAAGCTGAAACCATTGCATCTTTCCTCACAACAAAGCTTCGCAGCTCTCGTCGTCCGAGAGAGCAACAAAGCTACAAAAGAATGGGAAGGCCAGACCTACCGACCACGTTGAGCAATCTCCGACAGTCAGTGACTTCTGATGCATCACCTTCTGGTTGGAAAGGAGTGTTGATCAGGGAGGTAAAGCGTTGGAGCAGGAAACTTTTTCGCAATCAACATGAGAAGAGGGAGCCGTTCTTTTTGTTTCTGTGGATCGTTTGGCTTTTTGTTGGCTCCATGTTCTATGCTTATGCTCCAAAGAGCAACCTTGGTTTTGTGAAGGGCTTTTACATGGCCATCAATATTGGCTACTCCATCGGTTTCGGATACCCCTCTGAGAATTCCTATGGCAACTACATTTACTTTTCCAGCATGTATGTACTATTGGGTGCCTCCTTTGTTGGTGTGGCGCTATCTTTCTTTGCTGAAAAGATTACCATAGACTCTGAATCATGGTTCTCCAGAATGCAGTATGAGAGAGATATTAGAAGGGACATGATGTCCACAAACAGGGCTTTTCAGGGTAGAGTGCGTGCATGGATCCACAAGAACAAGAAGGCATTAAGAGCTGTGTCAGTTTGGCTTGGAATGATCGTTGCCATGATTGTTTACTCCATGGTTGTGGTTAAGTGGACCTTTGGAGAAGCACAGTACTTTGCCATCTCAACACTCAGCACTGGAGGCCATTGGCCAATCCCAAATGACTCCCCAACCTGGTTGTTTGGAGTGACGGGGGTATTCACAATGATTGGTGTTCCCATTATGGGGTTGGCAATGGCTGAAATTGCCCAAGTCCTTGTGCACCAAGGGAATTTGGATGAAACCAAAGCAACAGTTGACGCAGTAGTTACCAAGGAGGAGCTGGAGTTTCTTGAAGAACTTGGGCTGGACAACTTTGATGGAGAAGTTGACAAAGCTATGTTCATCATTCTGTGCATGGTCCGCATTGGAAATGATCCAGGCTTGATCAAGTACATAACACAGAGATTTGCTGAACTGAACTTTTACACTGGCAAATCATTGACGGTTGCAGAAATCACCCATGGATCCTGTAGGTATGTGGGAGGGCAAATTCGCCGAATGACATCTTTGAGGGCTGTGAGGGGGTCAACACTGCAAGCTGTTTCGGAATTCCAGATTGTGGTATCCGATGATGATTGTGATGATGACGACTCTGATAGCTTCCGCGCAGACGCATCGGATGATGATCTGACCTTTTCTGAGAACGGTGTGTCACGGAGAAGTTACTATTCACCCATGTTTTCAAATCGCACGCAGAGGGAGCAAGACGTTGATGAAGAAATCTTGAGCTTTGTCTCCCCATCAGACACCTTGAGCAAGGGTGAATCGCGTTCAAACAGAAGAAATGCTGCAAATGGAGAAGATAAGGCTATGTTGACTTCAATTTGTGAAAACGACGAAAGCCAGGAACCTGAGATCCTAGCAAAAGCTGTTGTGCCTGAAGCTTCACCACAGGAAGAGCTGTCTTCAAACAACCACAACTACGACAACTACAGCAACACCATCAACACCATCAATCGCAATAAAGCACTGTCCTCCCTGATGCCAGCAAACAGAGGCAATGATGAGAAGGATGGCTCTGAGGTACAACAGGACAGCGCTGTCGGAGTACATCTCTTGCAGGATGAAGAAGTATCTTCAAATGGCGACAAGGGGAAAGAAAATGATACCGGTATTGATGCCCGGCGCTTGATCCTACCGGTAGGCACCAATGATGTAGGAGAGCACATAGAATCAAAAAGAAAGGATGAAGATGACCAGGATTCCAACCATGATGTGGAATCTCCCCGGGAGGTTTTCCTTGACGAAGAAATGTCGACTGATACCGGTAACAACAATCAACGTTTTGGTATCTGCAGGAGTAGCACAACAAGTTCACATTTCCGAGGCAGCATTGCAAGCTCAGAATCCTCCTTTCTGAGGAACCTTGTTCAGAAATTTGGAGTGCCATCGTTACCAAGCGCGCGGTCCAGCATATTGAAACATGACAGCAAGGAACCAACAAGGCCTAGTTCTATTGCTTTCAAGGGCGCTTCATTTGACGCAACAGCAAACTCGACAACTTCGGCAGGCAATGCAATTCAGAGATTTGTGAATGATCTGAGACAAGAGTGCTCCTCTGGTCAACCTGCCAACATTCCACCAGTTGAAGAGGTGAATCCAACCATCAAACCAACCTGTGTTTCGTCGAATGGCTGAGGTAGGAACCAGCAGTCACGTACCTGATCTACATGTACTTGGAATATCCAGGAAACGGTAGCCGATAACGCTGTGGAAATCAAAACCGTCCAGCCGCCTCCTTGCCCTCCACTCCCTGCCTCCTCTCCCTTTCCCCTCTTCAAGATTGCAATAGCGCAGGCATTTTGTAAGCTCATCCTGTAATTACTGCCATTAATTGGGTACATCGTTCCGGACAGCAGAAAGCTGCCGTGGCTTGTTCCGCCAATGACACGCGAAATCTGCTTGGTCCGCAAATGACGCGAAATCTTTTCGTGAGGAGGCCTTTCATCTATGGTACCGGTAGTGCCTGAAACGACGAGGGGCCACCTTTCGAGCCACCATAGCCAGCCGCCATACATGTCTATGCTGCCACGGTGAATTCCAGCATCGTTGTCCGTGTCTTGACAATACGGCGAAAGGGGGTCTAGAGTTCCTTGCTGGGGTTCGCGTTGGGGTCAATCCACAACTACCGTCGTCTGGCCGCTCCACTTGTTCGATTGCTACACGGAGGCAACCATTCGTCTCGGCTCTTCCAATGCACCGGCACCGTTAGAAGTGAACTGACTGGGGATCATGTTCGGATGCGATTGATCGTTCCATCCAAACTTCCGCTCCTGATTTCGATGGTCTTGTGCAGCTCAGGCTACAGACAACATCTGTCTGCATCTTTCTTGGCTGACGAACGTGGCCGATTCCGACAACCTATTCCTGGGATGCCGCTCCATTATCGACGAAAACGAAGCCATGAATCGAATCGAATCCAACTGCATGGCGTCGGCAATCACAGCGATCGAGTTAGTTGAACAGAACGTGTGAATGATAGGACCCCGCACAGTCAAGGGTTCCTTCAGGAGGAAGCGATAGAAGCAAGTCTGCTGAAATACTCCATGCATAACAGATGCCTAACTCCAATTCAAAACAGATGAAGTATCTGCAAGACAGCAATAGGTGTATTATTAAGAATCAAGTGGCCATGGCAAACATCCATTCTTGTTGCAGAATACTGATAGCAGCTTATGAACAACTTTTGCAAAGGACAGCCACCACAATTCTCTTATTCCCTTCATCATCAACGCTCTTCAAAGTTTCCATTCTTGATGTTGTGGGCCTTGAAGGCATCCTGCAGGAAATGGCGTCCTTCATGGAACAAGGTCAAAGAAATGACAGCCTTGGCAATTCCAATTCCTTGTCCACGGAAAACTCCCCGAAGACCAAACTGAGCAGAGTCACGAACCATCTCTCTCACTGCTTCCATAGGGCCAATAGACTTGCCAGAAATGGAGTTGGTTTGCATAATAACTTCCAAACGGCTCAGGGGGTTTGTCACAACAACATAAATGGGAGACACAATAGAACTGGCAACCAAGCCAGTGGCAGCCCTTCCCATGCTTGTCTTGTCACCAAGCTCCTTTTGAATGTACTTTTGCAACCTGGGTTGTCCCACAAGACCAAGAAGGGCACTGGCCAGGGAATGGCCCATCAAGGGAACAGTTCCACGGAAAAGAGGGGTGAAATTCTTGGCAGCAGACTCCTTCAAAATCTCACTAATCTTCTTGGTCCCTCCAGTTTGCTTGAAATAAGCACGCTGTTGCTTCTCAATCATGCGAATAGGATTAATAAAGGGGGCAGACAGAATGGAGGCAGCAGTGGCAGCAACCATTCCTGGATTCTCTCCCTCACCCAAGAAGAAGGAAAATCCCAAAAGGATGCCAAACTTGGGGATACGCTTGAAACCAACACCCACCAAACGAGGTCCAACACCACTCAGACTGGCACCAACAGGGTGAGCCCTGAAGACTGCCTTGGCTTCTTCAGAGGCAACTCTGGGGTCAACTGGTTTTCCATTGAGATCCTTGGCATACTGTTGCACCAATTGACGGTAAGCAGTTACAGGATTATCCATGACAGTTTGAAAGGCAGAACCACCCAAGTAGGCAGTCAAAGCCTGAGCCTGGGAGAGTCCGGACTTCTTGACCACAAAAAAGTCATCAGAGACGAGTTGTATCTTTGGTGTGGCTCTTGAGGTGGGATTGGCTGCTACCGCAGATGACATGATGCAGTGGTGTTCTAGAACTTGACGGCTGCTTTATTTGTTGATCCTCCAGATCAAAATTGTGAGACTCTCTTTCAGCTCTTTACTAAGCAGGTTGCTGTCTAGCTTTATGTAGACTGCTTGTGTTTGGCGGACAAACCTTTCTCGAACCAGGCAGGGTGTCGGGAAAGTCCTGCAGCGGTCGCGCCAGTTTCGCCGAATAGTTCCCAGTCCCACGTCTTCTTGGGTATGGACCCATGTCCACCCAGCTAGTACCGATACAGTAGCTGCCACTATCGAGCTGCGAGCTACGAGGTACGGTATGCAGCTAGCCAGCACGCTTGGCTGGACCAAAACTGCAGTGCCTGGGTTCACCGAAAGGGATGAAAAGATGGATACCCGTTTCGAAGCTCAGGTCTTGCTATAGCTATAGTGGCTGAAGAAGCTCCCGCTAGATAGTCATGTTGCTTCCTTGTTCGTTTTTGTTTCCTCCATCTATGCTGTTGTCTGCAGCGATGGTAAACGAGAGGATCGATACGGCTGGGGGCAAGAGCTTGTTGGCGCCACCAATGTTTTCGCTCGGCCTATCTATCGAGAGGCGTGTGAAAGTGGAGCGAGTCGTCCTTTGTATCGCTCTGATCAAGCGTCGCAAGTACATGCAGAGGGCAGCCAGAGGTATTACCGCTTGTGCCACGGATCATGCCTGCCAACTGGACCTTCGACTTGATTCGACGGATCCTGGTTTGGTAGGTATTTTAAAAGTTTTCGAGGTTTAACCGACCGCCAGGCAGTACCACAGGCAGGAACGGGGCGATACGGCTTCGCCTAGCCAGCCAATATCGAGTTGGTGGTTGGCAAGACCCATCTACCCAGCCTAGGACGGTCGCTCGAGCGATGCATGCCTTGCTGGGTGCAGGAACAAGGCTCAACATTTTCCCTGCCTGACCATTTTCCTTGCTACAGTACGGTGTGGGCTTCGGTCCACATCGCATCTTCTGGGTCCAGGACTGGCCAGGACGCAAACCTCTAGCTGGCAAGTAGAGCTACACTCTGTAGCTATCGGTAGCTAGCTAGCTAGCTAGAGAGCTCCGCGACAGCCAGCTGGCTGGGCCAACCTACGGTAACCATTTCCGTGCGATAGCAAAGTTCATGGGATCGGTAAGTGTGAACGAGGGATTTCTGTGACACTGTGACGTGGTCTGAATAAATCGACGCTGTGTATTCTGGAAAGGAGAAAACCAGTCCTTGATGGTCTGCGAATGTCGGGAGAGCCGTTGGTGCATTACTCTTTGCTGGAGTATGAAGTCGACGTGGTCATTGGTGAACGCTCCATCACTCTGTTGATGTGAGTACTAAATTATTGACTTGGTCGCTACTGTAGATTTCTGTAGATCCAGTACCGCGAGGTGATGACATCAAATACCTGGCCAGCTCGGCATGATGTGATGTGTTGGTGTGATGCTGCCTTTTTGAGAAAGCAATGACCACGAACACAATTTAATTGCCGCCTCCAGGTTTATTATTAAACCACTGCATCAACCAAAGCTACCAAACCAACGACTATCCAACAGACAACCCAATAGGAAAAGGTTACGCTCCTCCGTTCTCAAAACCTCTTCTTCCCCTCCAGTTTCCTTCGAGTTTTCTCTGCTCTGCTCTCCTCTATTATTTTTTCCTCCTCTCTTTCCAACAACTAATTTCGATCATGTCTGTTTTGGCTGAACAAAAGACCAGTGTTCCCTTCCTCCCTCAAGACTTCTTTGTGGTCAAGAAGTCCGGTCTCTCCCAGGCTCAGGCTTTGACTGCCTACTTGGGTGGTTCTGCCTTTCAAACTGTCATGGATAATCCTGTAACTGCTTACCGTCAATTGGTGCAACAGTATGCCAAGGATCTCAATGGAAAACCAGTTGACCCCAGAGTTGCCTCTGAAGAAGCCAAGGCAGTTTTCAGGGCTCACCCTGTTGGTGCCAGTCTGAGTGGTGTTGGACCTCGTTTGGTGGGTGTTGGTTTCAAGCGTATCCCCAAGTTTGGCATCCTTTTGGGATTTTCCTTCTTCTTGGGTGAGGGAGAAAACCCAGGCATGGTTGCTGCCACTGCTGCCTCCATTCTGTCTGCCCCCTTTATCAATCCTATTCGCATGATTGAGAAGCAACAGCGTGCTTATTTCAAGCAAACTGGAGGGACCAAGAAGATTAGTGAGATTTTGAAGGAGTCTGCCGCCAAGAATTTCACCCCCCTTTTCCGTGGAACTGTTCCCTTGATGGGCCATTCCTTGGCCAGTGCTCTTCTTGGTCTGGTGGGACAACCCAGGTTGCAAAAGTACATTCAAAAGGAGCTTGGTGACAAGACAAGCATGGGAAGGGCTGCTACTGGCTTGGTTGCCAGTTCTATTGTGTCTCCCATTTATGTTGTTGTGACAAACCCTTTGAGCCGTTTGGAAGTTATTATGCAAACCAACTCCATTTCTGGCAAGTCTATTGGCCCTATGGAAGCAGTGAGAGAGATGGTTCGTGACTCTGCTCAGTTTGGTCTTCGGGGAGTTTTCCGTGGACAAGGAATTGGAATTGCCAAGGCTGTCATTTCTTTGACTTTGTTCCATGAAGGACGCCATTTCCTGCAGGATGCCTTCAAGGCCCACAACATCAAGAAGGGTTACCACTCAGAAAACTAAGATAGCAGGTAGTGCTTATTGCAGGTTGGTGTCAGATACACCTTGAAGATGTGGACGGCAAGAAAGATATGTCCACGTGGTTTGGTTTGGTTTTTTCACCCGTGCTCAACTGCACAGTTACTCACTCGATTTGCTAAGGCAGTTATAATTTGTATTAGACGAACAATGAATTCATAACGTTCCAATATTTTTGAAGGGTTTTGTGTTGCCATGCTACTGTACGCCGGGGTCGGCTTTGGAGGCACCTTGGTCTTGTGGCTGGTGCAACAGGAATTTTGCGTCAGATTCAGCAGGTTGCTGCAGTCATGTTCGTGCTCGCTCTGTTGTTGTGTTTTGGTATTGTCGTAACCCAACAGAAGATTAATAGAAGTGAAGGAGACGAGAGTGGGGAACTAAGAATAGTTAATTGCTTGAATGGGCATTCTTTCCGGCCGGCTTCGTACAGTAATCGTTCATCATGCACGAGTCCTCAGGTGACGGATGCCTCTGCTATCAAAGGCAAGGAGCAACGCTGGGCACCGTGTCGGGTCCTAGTGTGCTTGTGGATCATCAACAAATCCAGCATCATGTCCAAGGACGCCAGCCATCATCCGTCCTCCAAGGACAAGCAAAGGCGAGGCAACCCAAGAGGGACGAACAAAGTCGTGGTTGGTTGGTTTTGTGGCAGATTAACCATGCCTTACAATAATAATTATTTCCATACAACTACGAAGAATGCATTTGTGTTCTGGTTTTGGTCGATTTGATCTGAGACTGAATATTCCTACGAAGTGCCCCGTCTTGCACTGGACGGAGGTCACACGTTTTCGTTTGATTTTGAGTGCGGAACGATCAAAACAAAAGACCGGAAAGAGGCGGCCTGGAAGATAGGATTTCCTGTTTTGTCGATCGATCCACAGCACGGGTACCTAAAACTCTTTGAGAAATTGATTTTTCTTGGTGGCTCTTTGTCTTGAGGGGCGCTGCCTCGGTCTTCCGACGGCGATCTTCGTTGGGTCGCGGGTGCGTTGCTTCCGAGCCGGAGAGCTTATGTGGAGTGGACGATTTTTCTCTTGGTGTCGCTCTCTTCTGATTCATCCATCCATCTGTCTACCACATGTACACACCACTCCCCGAGGGACCGGTGACGGCCCCAGGAGCTCCTGCCGCGGGTGCCGCAACGCCAAGGTTGGCAATTGCGGCTGCGTTGGCAATGGCGGCGTTGGTGATGGCCGGCAATCCAGCAGCGATCTTTTGCCTCTTCTTGGGTCGCAGTGCGTTGGTCTTGGCATTCATGCGTTGCAAGGCAAGCTTGCAAAGATCGGGATTGATGGACATGTAGTAAAAGAGTGCATCGAGGTCATCATTGACCGTGGCCAATGCCTGGATCCACTGCTCGAGATTGGTTTCTTGAGCTTGCAAGAGCCGCCCTCGTCCCAACTTGTTGAGGGTCACAAATAGCTTGAATTCCGGCTTGACGGGGAATCGTTGAAAGAGGACGAAATTTTCAATGACATAGTTGGAGCGTAGCATGTCAACGAACGCATCCTTGCAAGGTTTGGAAACCTTTTGCGTCATCATCATTCCGTTGCCGCCCGAGTCTTCCGCAATCAACGCAAACGACTTGAGTCCTTTGTTCACCTTGAGCGACTTGGCCAGTGTGGCCGCACATTCGTCACTAATCATTTTGGAGAGACCCACTTCGAGACACTCGAGACCGGAATTGTGCTCCAACATGGTCGCAAAGGCCACGGCGGAGGCCATTTGGAAATCGACCATGGTTCCAACCTTGAGATCCTTGAGTACTGGGTTGACCTGGAGCATCCGCGCCATGGCCTTGATGGTGTCCGCACCCAAATCAAAGTCGCGAATCTTGAGGACCTTCAACGACGCGGAAAGCAATAGCGCGCCCACGGCTTGACTGGAGATCTCTCCGAGTCCGCCCGTGCGGGTCGAATGGAGGTAGACCTTTTCCATGCAAGGCAAAATAGACAGCACCATGACCATGGGATCCAACGGCGTCTTGCTTCCTCCAATGCCGTTGACGCCACCTCGCGGAGGCATGAGCGCCGCCGGAGCTCCTCCTTCCGCCGCCGCCGCTGCGGAAGGAGCGGATAGTTCGCATTCGATGATGCAGAAACTCTTGAGATAGACCGATCGTTGCAACTGTTCGGCAAACTGAGACCAATCTTGCTCGGTTCCTTCCAACTTGAGGTCACTGACGGCAAAGCTTGCGAGCCGCGATGCGCGGCCCAAGACATGGATCAATGCCTGTACCGAAATGACACCGTCAAAGCCCGAGCGCGAATTGAAGCAGATCCGCTGCAACGAGGGGATGCCACCCAACACTTCAAAGAGACCGCGAATTTCCGTCATGGGAAATCGAGGTAAAAACGTCTCATCGGTGTACACGACAATCTCCTTGACGGTCCCGTTCAAGCTCAGAGCATACTGGAGCTGCGGGATGTTGAGTGTGTGATCAAACGTCAAGATGAGCGTCGACAATCGCTCGTCGTTCAAGACCAAGCGTCGAATGTCCGCGTTGCTCGCCATTGTCGATCAACCTGATAGTAGTAGTAGAACTGTGTGTGTTGTTGTAGTAGTATGTTGTCGAGGTCTCTTCAGAACAACAACTTGCTGTGCCGCAGCTTGCTTGGAAACTCAGTAGCAACCAGCAAAGAAGACAAGACAGCGCCTCGAAGTAGTGAACAAGTACAGAAACAGCCAACTAGAGCAGCAAGCTACCAATGAACAAGCCAAATCGGATAATACCTTGACTGTGCTAGTGCTAGAGCTAGCTACTAGCAGGAGAGGCAGACAGATGAAATAATGAATAGATGCCCACCACTTGGACTTTACGTTGTCTTGGTCTGTTCGTAGAGTACTGGTCTGCTGGACTGCTGTTTGTTGTTGTGTGCTGTTGCTGCCTGTATTGCTTGGAGACTGTTGTGGAAGCAGCCGCCAGCTTTCCGCAGCTCGCTCGAAAAGTGCTTGTGTTTTTCGGTGGTGGTTGGGTGAAATGTCAGTCGTAAAATGCCTGCACAGCGGCAAAATGGCGATGCAGCGAAGACCAAAGAAGGCAATGCTCGCTTGTAGTGAACCTTTTGAGGAATGAAAGGGAGATGGAGAAATAATATTTTTCGGAGTACTAGACTGGCTAGTACCCGTGCGTGGACGACCCGCAAGAAATCTCACTGTATTACTTGGTTGGATTCATGCTCACAAATGCTGCAAGTTTCATGGTTGAAACCCAAGAAAATTAATATCAGCCATAGTGCCGCATTGCTTGGAAGCTGAATTGAGATAACTGTAGTTCTTTCTGAAAATACATACGGTAGGGGGAGAGGTGCTTCGTCCCACGGATGTCAGGCAACGTACGGGGACGTAGGTGCACCACCGCCGCATCCAACCAGCAGTGTTGATTTGGTGTTGATCGTCGCTCATGGTTGTGCTATGAATATCGTCCCCTACAAACCTTGCAACTCAGAGATGCTTCATATCTCCGGCATTTTGAATCGATAATTTTTTTTAGTTCAGCCATGCCAGATCTTCTATTCAAATGTACGTGTGCTGGCCAATTGGTAAAGGTAGCCAGCTACGCGTATCTGGTTGGCCGTTGGCCCATCGCCGCCAACAATGCACACGCAGCGTGGAAAATATATTTCCCTCATCTTTCTGAAATAGTCTTGAGGGGTTCATGACTGTGAGAAATGAAAATGACTTCACCAAAATGTCTTTCACCCAAACTCGACCTGGAGGGCGATTTCTTGAAGTGTCCAATCTAGCCAGTTCTGACGCAGAATTATACCAGTACCGATTCAATTATTAATTATTATTAGAGTGGCCAGCTATTTTAAAATCGCTATTAAAACAGAACTCTAATTCACATACAGTTCAGCTGCAGTTCACAGTTGTGAGTTGTGAGAACTGTCACGCAGCATTCCATGTTAAATAGCACAGAATAACTTGCTCTTGGATGTTGGATGTTAAGGAACGGTGCCTTCTGTACACTTGTGTCAGTAAATATCTTCATGCGAAAAGTACAAAACGGCTACTGTGACATCCCCAACCCCAACGAAAAGCCAAGGGCAAGAATTAAAAAATAGTGAAAACTTAGAATACTATTTTAAAATAGCTAGGTACCGGTACTGAGTTCTACATACTCCGAGCTCCGAGCTCCTTGTCCTACTAGCGGTACGTAGCCTAGTAGCATATTTGTCTAGTATGCTCGCTCAGTAAAAGCTAGTACTGTACCAGTACAGGTTTTAAGGTTCGTACAACTGACTACCTGGTACTGGGTTGGAGAAAAAACGGCGGAAGCCTTTTAAATCGATATCGTAAGAGTGTACGAGTAGCTCAGTAATGAGTACTGAGTACCGGTACAAGTACAGGTTACGGGGGTCGAACAAACCGCTCCTGAACATACCGGTATACAGCTAAGAAGAAACAGCTCGTGCTTAGGGCGTGGGGCACATGCACAATAAGGCTACGATGTACCGTTACGGCTGTACGGAAGGCAAGTACTGAAGAGTAAAACACTTCTTACTCGTACAACATTTTCGCCACAACGGAAGCCTTTTCCATTTTACAATATTTTTACGGAAGCCTAAAGTGAAGCCAGCAGTCTGATAAGCATTTTTTGCTCCCCACCAGCCTCCAAGGATCCATCCCCCTTCGTCATTCGATTGAAGATTGCATTAACGTCAAAGAACCAACATACCAACACTTCACCGACGTCACCCGTCTCCTCTACGGAAAACGCAAGTCAGATTAATACGCACCACACTTCGCCAACGAATTCAAAAACTTCACACCTCCTTCACCATTCCGACTTAACGGCGACATCCAAAGGAACAGCATCGAAATTAGCATCCTATGGCAAGGCAACCCCATCAGCACTGTCAAGACTTTCGGGACACGACACTGCAGCCTATGCAACAGGGAGCGACTCGAGATACTGAAACGATCCAGAAAATCGCCAGAAAAGCTGATCAACTCCTGCAACGAAATATACGGAGCATGCCGACATAAACCTCGATTTCATAAGTACCACAATAGCCCAAGCACTGATGATTCCCAAGGGGGATGAAAAAGTCAAACAACCGAAAAGTTACCACAGAGTAAAGCCTGTGTTTTAGTGATTCGGCAGTTTGCGAGTAAACTTACTTAGTTCAGTCACTTTTTGCTAAAATCGTATGATTCTGCATTAGTGTCAGCAAGCCCAGAAATCCATTTTTGGATGCATGCAAATAAATCTATCCTAAGGTTTTTAAGCTTTTATTCCTCAGTGCCAACAGATACATCTTCATGTCTTTAACTTTGCCAAGTACAATCCTCCTAGCAGGGCTCCAATCAACTGCAAATGAACCTTCATCGCGCTTCCTCCAGGGCGTCGTTTCATTACCTTGGTATTCACGCATTGCATAACGAACCATGCAAGACATGCCAACCCCATTGACTTGGCTGGACCATAGAGAATTATTGCCAACTTGATGATACCATCGGTAGTATCCAGTATCCCTTGTTCGCCCAGTGCGTCGCCAAATGCTTTATTTGCTGGGACGTCTAGATTCAACAACTTGCCCTGCAACTCTGTAGCCAGAAACAATCCACTGCCGGCAACCAGGAGTTGGTAGCCAATCAACTTGGCGCCTGTGAGTGCTTCCAGCTTGAATGGGTTCAAAGTGGTGTCGCCATTCTTGACCACGGCCAAAGCCCATATCGTACAAATCACGTAAGCGGGGGCAAGTCGTTCCATTCTTGCCTGTACCTTTTGACGATCCACCAGAGCCAAGCCCAGCATGAATATATAGCGTGGAGCCAACGACGCCGCCACCGCGGTGAGAGCTTCCATGTCTTTAAAGTAGACTAAGAGAGGTGTCAAGGCAATGCTCAGTATGGTCGCACCCTTGGCCTTTTGGAGAAGGGCCAAGTTTGGATCTTGATCACCACGAAAGGACTGAACAAGCTCGGCACATCCTTGAACGGCCATGCCCACTGAGTAGGTTCTGCCAACCATTCCGCGAAAATATCCACCACGAAGATTTGCTACTGCTTCAAGTGTTGTACTTGTCGGAACTTCTCTGTGAGCTGTCTTGGACGCTTTCACGTCGGCAACGGCAAACCGAGGCCGCTGAATGGCAGCCGTCTCCGTGGCGCAGCCAAGGACGAGGAGAAGACATGTCCCGATGGTACTAACAGCTTTGCTTCTCATTGTCATGCACTTTTATGGTTTGCTTCGATGTGGTAACCTTTTCCTGTAATAAGGTATCTTCGAGAGTGTGTGTGATGTTGTTTGATTGGATTGAGATTCAACGGGTGAACTGGTGACACGATGACATGATCCAATTTTTTACTCCAGAAGATATAAACCTGCGCCCTAAACTGTTCAGCGAGCTCGGAGTGTCAAAGAAGTTAGTTGCGTGGATGGAACAGATTGACAGTCAATGCAACGTCCAAACGAGCGGTGCTCAGGTTTTGAGGTGATCCCAAAAGGTAAACGCTGTGGTTGCTCGTGCTAGCTAGGAGATGGGAAAGAAGGTGGTCAAGACGGACGAAGTCGGTGGAAGGCGGTCAAAGTTGGTTGAAGAAGCATTAATACACTTTGAAACTAGCACCATTTCAGGAGGGGGGTGCCTGGAATAGAATGGGGCTACGAAAGGCTGCTTGAGGCACCGCCCAGGCTGGCAGGATTGGAAAGGCAAGGATTGTTGCACCTTTTGCTATTCCTACAACATACGACTGTACTTCTTGATGGCGATGATTGTTTCCTTGAGCGTTGGTCCGTATCCACGATTGAAACGTCATTTCGCAGACAAAGATACTTCAACATGGGTGTCAATGTCGTCCAATTCAGTCGATGCCGCTCTTGGTCCTTTTCGTTGCCATCCAACATACTTTCGCATCCTTTGTTTTCTAATAGGTGTTGACTATCTTGCCTCCTTTCAGTTCTGCAGTACTCTACTCCATGATGTCCGTTTCCAAGAGTTTCTTATTCCTTGCGCTCCTGTTCTTGGGAACACATGCATTTACTACTACTGCGCCCAAGGTGCGACAGGATTCGGCAACGGCCTTGTCCATGGCATGGCTGGACCGATTGTTGAACCCCAAGTCGTTTCCTCCTGAAGCCGAAGTAACTGCGCGCCATATTCTGATCAAGGATCGACAAGAGGCTGAAGCTGTCAAGGCCAAGTTTCGAGGACGTAATTTCGCGCAACTTGCCAAACAATATTCCACATGTCCATCGAGTGCCAAAGGAGGAAACTTAGGAAGCTTCAATCCAGGGCAAATGCAAGAAGATTTTGACCTCGCCGTGTTTGATCCGGAGGTGTCAAAAGTGGGAGAACTGACAGGTCCAGTCATGACACCCGTAAGGCTTTATTTATAATTTTGTGTTGTGTTGTGTTCATTTTACTCATCTCAGTTTCTTCTTTTTGCGAACATGTTTGTTTTAGTTTGGATACCACTTGATCATTGTCGACAAGCGATCTGGCGTTTAATAAAATGCTAATGTCAGAAGGAAGGATGCCCAGATTTCGATTTCAAGATAAAACACAACAAATCACCATGAAAGTCTTCCATTAATTTGGCCGCTATTTTTCACTATGCAGATGCTAAGAGTCCTGTTTTAAATAAATTACGAAGCCTCGCGTTACACCTAGATCTATAGCTGGTTCATCGCCCCTGCGGGTTGGCGCTCTATAGGCAACATCGTTTTTTGAAGCTTGTTGGAGCTCCTAGTATCCGTAATCTTGTGCAGTGAGTGTGCCGACGCACCAACACCCTGCAACAGCGTGGTTGTCTTCCATTTTGGTTCTTTAGAATAGCTACTAGTAGGCATGTAGCTTTCTCCACGCAAAAAACAAAAACAAAACTTCAAGAAGTTGTCCAGCTAACTGTAGCCAGCTGCTGACAGGTGGCTAGCTAACATGAGCTCTACATGTATGTATGTAGCTAGTTGACTAGAGCGACTGAAACAACAGTACGGTACCAGACTCGATGGTTTGTGGAGCATTGGCTGTTGGAGCTCTGTTGTCGTAGCGGTATGGTGAGCTCCCATTGTCGCTGCGAGTACTAGTAGATCTTTAGAAGTTGCTTTGTTCCCGGTACACCAGTAGTACACTCCAAACCTGAAAGTAAGAAACTCCAAATAAGAAAGCGAGTACTCAGATTTTAGAAAAAGTTAAGAATTTCTCGATACTGAAATATTGCAGACTTGTAAGAAAACCTCCCAGTATTGAGATCTCAAATCGTAAGAAATACCACTAGTCAGATACCATGAAAATGCTTCAAACTTGTGGATTAATCTGCAAAAATTTCTGCCTGCCGGAAGAGACAGTGGTCACCACCTCTATTTGATCCAAACCATTACAAGTCCTGAGCATGTTGGACCCCAAGGGGCAGGGGCACTGGGTGTATCAAACTGCTAACCTGTTTGGCCTAGAAGCTTATTAGTAAGAAAGTCTTCTATACTGAAATTGGATTGTTTGCTAGAAAGAAAACGAGTAGCAAAATAGAGCAGTTGGGTAAGAAAGCTCCAGTACTGGCTCCCAGTTGGAGCTTTCTTATTATTGAGTTTAAAGTGAAGTACTTTGTTCAATGTGTTTTGTGCAATCGCGCCTCAGCTCGGTTCAAACAGCTTACACTTATCGGAATGCGAACAATCTGTGATTCACTGACATCCTTTTTACTCACTGTAGAAAGCTGGTACAGAGAACGGGAATAGCCTCCTCTGAGGTGTAAATGGTTACACGTCTGAAGACATGATTTTCGCCTAAAGAAATCCAGTCAGGCCTTGTACCGGTTCATGCCTGTGCTTTACTATGAGCTTGCAGTAGTTTTCCATCCTGACTGAAGCCTTTTTAAACTTTTAATGGCCTACCGGTACTGCACCGGTACAGTAACCAAGTTTCAACAAGCTTTTTAAAAAGCTCCTAGGCTTTTGACCAGTGTTTAAAGTGTACGTACCAGCACAAGAGTAATACATGTAATTGGCAAGGGAAGCCCAAAATTAACCACTCGAAATGCAAGGAGAAACGCGACAGCTTGGCAAAGCATTGATGGACCGGTGGGGGTCTTGCCTTATTGACATGGCTGGAACCGCAACACAGCAACATCTGCCCTGTTTACTAGTATAAACCATCGAGGACGTGAACAACCAACCGCCATCTTCTAATAATAGCTACAGCTTGATATCACAGTAGCTAGCAAGAAATCATGAGTCAACAACAGCAAGCACCAGCGGCAATGGCATCCACAGCCGACAACAATGATGATGAAGTAGAAACAACGCTCCAAGCCATGGCCGAAGTCCAACGGAAGCGACAGACCGAACTGCATCGTCAGACTCCTACCTGGTCGACACAGTATCAAGAACGCCGGTGTGGCCATTGCGACGATTGTTACAAGGAATTGCCCTGTCTGGTGACCTCTGTCGATACCGAACAACCCGGTGCCTTTACCGTGTCCGCTTCGGCCACCACGGCACGAGTGCAGCGATTCCACAACAGCAGTGGTCGGATGTCCCATCACAGTAGTGGCCCCGTGTCGTTGCATTCCAGTCTGGCATCCATGGACGACAGCAGTAGGCGACTACGATCAGCATCCGTCAATGTCGATACCAGTGTGGCAGTGGCCGCTGTAGTGGTGGAGGATCAAGACGAGGCACATCGGCAACGCGAACAAGAATTAGCACAACACGAAGCGCAATTGTCGGCACGAGAAGCACAGCTGCAAGCGTGGCAAGAAGAATTGGAACGACAACGACAAGAATTGACACAACAACAAGAACCACAGCCATCAGAATCAGTACCAGTGGCACCATTATCATCCTCCGTGGTGGTGGCGGTACCGGAAGAAACAATTGAACGCAATGAACTCGGTTCCGGTCCCATGCGATTTGCACCCAACAACAGCATGAGATCGTCGCAAGCACAAGTCATGGGATTGGATTCCAACATGATACTTTATCTACAAGAAATTGAACAAAAATGGAATCAGCGACAAGCCAAACTCGCACGACAACATGGACGAGACTGTCGGGCATGCTTGCCACTGACACCCCAATGGCACATGCGATTTCTCTGGTTCTACGCCAAAGCAGCCAAACCGCAACGGCGGCGTCGACTCAGTACGCAACCAGCACCTCATTCCACTACTACTACTACTGTTAGCTACCAAGTCAACATGAAAAAGGTGTGGGCGGCCGAAAAGAAACTGCAAAAACGATTCGTCGCACTCAACGTCGCCACGCTAGGGCCGCAACTCTATTCCAAAACATTGTTCCCGGTACCCGGTTTGACTACCAAAGGAGGACATCCCATGTTTTACATGCGACCCTCGCGGTATTTTCCCAAACACACTGATACCAAAACGATCATTGACAATTTAATCTATGTCATGAACACCATGTTGGAGAATAGTCAATTTGCACAAAAAGAAGGCATTGGATTCATTGCCTGTATGGATTCCTGGAAAATGGTCAACTTTGAAGTATCGTACTGTTACCAGTTCATGATGGCATTGCAAGGATTCATGGTACCCGTCAAGACGCAGCTCTTTCTCATTGTCAATCCACCCAGTTGGTTTGGAGCGATTTGGAAAATTATGAAACCCATGTTGGCACCGTCCTTTCAGAAAAAGGTCAAGATTGTCCCCGAATCCAAAATACACAAGTATCTGGCGCCGGGATTTGAACAAGTATTGCCCAACGATATGCAATCCGGTCAAGCCAATACCGATGCCATGGTCGTCGATTTTATCGCGTATCGACAATACGTCGAACAGGGACAAGTCGAGTACAACATTAACAATATTCATCATCATCACCATCATCATCACGACGCTTCCACTGTGGGAGGAGAGAGCTCGACAGGAGACGTCTCGTGCGATGATCCTGACGAGTGTCGTCGTCATCATCACGGTCCAGATCACACGGATCACACGGATTCCATGCACGATTCCTTGGGCAATCTCACCGGTACCTTTTCCATTCCCACAACGTCGTCGTCCAGTGGTGGTGGCGATTTGGGGGATGACGATGGTGCATCGATTCATTGCGATATCGACAATGAAGATGCATTGGATGACGCCGACATGAAGCAATCGTCGGAAGTTTTCATTGCCAACATGCCTCGATTTGATCATCGGTGGTAGTTTGTAAACTGCAAACTAAACTAACTAGCTGTTGACGATTGATTTTCAATGCTGCTGCTTTTCTCTAGCCAGTTTGTTGTAGATGACCGCAATTACTGCGGTTGGTCAGGACTGTACTGTACCGCATGACATGAAGAATTAGGTGTGTCATTCTGTAAGAACCGGCCCCCTTTCCCTGAACCAGATTTCGCGGAGAACCAGCGACTTTTCTTCTGTGGAGAGACCGAGATTGAAACAGAGAAGGGTCTGAGTTGAAACGACAACGGATTCTGGCAAAGAGTGAACGCCGCGCACGGTGGACATGTGATGGACAATGCAATGCAGGGGTACAATGCATTGGGGACATCACCTCTGTTCGGGGTTGGATCTTGGTCGGAAACGCGCTGCTTCTGACAGCAACCTCCCAGCACTGTACAAGAATTTGAAGAAGGCCCGCCAGTGATGGGCTCACATCATGGGCTCACATCTCTCGGGTGCTAGCTCGAGAAGGTGCAAAGCCCAAGGTTTCTGGCATGTTCTACAAGACCACTGGACCCTCACTTCCACCATGCTTCGCATATTGGAAGGTTTTCATCACAAGGTGGCTCGCCGGATTACCGGCAAAATGCCAAAGCTCATTGGAGGCGTTTGGCATTACCCACCAGTTGATGAAGCTCTGAGCACAGCCGGCCTGCATCCCATCTTGACTTATCTCAAGAGGCGGAGCAACAGGTTGGCTGACCCGCCCAAACTTTTACTTGTGTGGGCAAGTTTCAAAGATGCCAGGTACCACACATAAGCGCAGCTGGTTGTGGGACCGACTTCAGCCACAGCGCTGTTTGGTGAGATGTAGGTAGTCTCAATCGCATCGTAATGGGTTCTCGTAGAGCATCTGCCTGGGATTGGGATCCCGTGTTAGGCAAGCAAGTGGAATCGGCAAGGACAGTTAACACACACACAGAGTGAGCCAAGGACGGGCTTGAGAAACACATCGCCATTGCCTCAGCGCCATGAAGCTGCAGCAAAGATTTCTATCAAGAACTTTATGGGCTTTGTTGTTGATTTTTTTTCCATCTCTATCAAGTGTTTCGCAGTTGAAAACAACTGGGACTTTTTTCAGAAATAGTAAGTAAGTTAGTCAAGTTAGTCTGCTATCTTGACAATGATTTTACCCATGGCACGTCCACCTGCTTGATATTCATACGCCTTGATGGCTTCCTCAAAGGGGAACACCTTGTCAATGACAGGCTTGAGCTTTCCAGATGCCAAGTTTTCGGCAATGGCATTGATACGCTCCTTGGTGGGGATCAACTCGAGGAATGCCGCCAGTTCGGGCTTGCCTGCCTCGGCAATGGTCCTAATTTTGCTGGAATCTTGTCCTTCTTTGAGGATTTTGCGTCCCATCTCTAGCTCTTTTGTGCAGTCCATGACAACATCGGCCCATCCCTTTAACACTTCTCCGGCATTTTGTGATTTGTAATCGACCACTTGATGGGCACCACCCGTCTTTTTGCAAAATTCCGCCTTGGTTCCCGCCGAAGCCGTCGTGGCCACTGCTGCCGCTCCAAAGTGATTCTTGGCCAATTGCAGGGCATGGATGCCGACCCCACCGGCTCCACCACTGATAAACACCTTGTCTCCCTCCTTCAACCCAGTTTCTTGAAACAAATGAAACGCCGTCATGGCAGCCACGGGTGTGGCAGCTCCCTCTTCAAAGGATACATTGTCGGGAAGCCGGGCCATGATGTTGGCGGGAGCCACCACAAATTCGGCCATGGAGCCCGTCACTTTGGGGCCGGTACTCTGGGCCATGACATCCCCAAAGACGCGATTGCCCACTTGGAACTCGGTCACTCCAGCACCCAGTTCGACCACGATTCCGGCCACATCATATCCGACCACGACCGGAAATGTTGGTTCGGCAATGCCCATATAGCGGCGTACGACATCAACGGGATTGGTGGCGGCCGCCTTGGTTTGAATCAAGATTTCTCCTTCCTTGGGAGATGGTTTGGGGAAATCCGAGACCAACTCAAAATCAAAGGGTTGCTGCTTGGAAAGATCGTGGCTTTTCTCGACAACGGCTTTCATGGTTGTGGTCATTATTATTTTATTGCAGAGTCTTTGATAACAAAGTTAGTTAGTATTGGATTGGATTGGTTTGGTTGTTTTTGATTGTTTCTTTTGAGTTTTGTGTCCTCATTTGCATCCACCATCTTCTCTCTTTGTCTTCGTGCAGGATTGGATCCTTTGGATCTTTTCAGATCCTTCAGCACCTTCGAAGAAGCTCTTTCTCTCTTGGACAAAGTGGTTTCTTGAAGAACGTTTTCGAAGGAATTGGGTTAATCACTCTAACCTTACTGTAGTAAAGGTACGATGTACATCACTGCCGACCGCCGATGACCTTGCAAGTCATCAAAGCAAAAGATCTGGCAAACATTCATTTCTTGGCTTTTGGGTCTCCTTGTGGTCGCCATTGTATGGTATGAGTACAAACCTTTAGCAAAGCAACACGATGACCATCTCCTCCTCTGCTCCCGTCCCATCATCGTCTTCTTCATGGTGGAAGAATCTCTTGTCTCCTCTCTTTGGGGACAACAGCAAATCATCAGATAATGCTCCCGGCAAGGTGTGGTCTGCCGATGCCGCTGGCACGGCATTTTCCCGTGGCGACATGATTTCCAAAGAAGGAGGGGCAGCAGTGCGAGTGGCATTTCGCAATCAATCCAAGTTGCCGCTGATCTTGTCGTGGATTTCGGAAAATGGCCAATGCCATCATTTTTACTCGCTCAAACCCAGTCAAATGTTGATGGAAGCTCCCGTGACGGCGTTGGATCATGTCGAAAACACGTGTGTGGGTCATTCCTTTTGCATTGCCCACGTGGGAGCCGACGAGGAACGAGTCAAGAAAGACAAAAAGCTGGAACCGCGGTTTGTAGTGGGTGGATATCGTCCCACACGAGCCATTGAAGTGAATGAGGACAATCGCGATCAGTACGTTCATTTGGTCACCATTTCCCGACAAACACCCACCAAAGAAGTGATGTGTTGTGGTAGCGGAGGTCCATTTTTGAGAAATAATAAGCAGCAAGTTGTGCCAGTCAGTAATGACGATGACGACGACAATCTCTGTTGGGTGGTGACAGCTATTGAATCCAAGGTAGATGACAATCAAATCAACACGGAAGACAAGGTGTACGAAAAATCCACACTCGGCGGATGGCCCGTTTGCATCGAACCCCACTGCTTTGACGACGACAAGGAACTAGAGAAACGAATTGCTCAAGATTTGGAATTTGCAGTCTCGCGTCTGCCGGAACATGCCCGGGATCGTCTCCGACAAAAGACGCCCGTATTCATCAACAAAACGCTCCAATACGGCCCCCAAGCCTGTCCCATTAATGGCCGTGGCCTTTGTTTTCACGGCGAACGCAAGTGGCTCGAAGAACATTTCATGTGCACCGACAAACACCAAGCCGTCGAACTCTACAATGCCAAGGAGTACTGGGATGATTGTAAACTGTGGGGCCGTGGAGGCGTCCTCGTTCACGAATTCTCACACGCCTACCATCATATCTGTGTCGAGAATGGATTCGACAACAAGGAAATTCTAGAGTGCTTTGAGGCGGCCATGAAGGATCGACTCTACGATTGGGTTCGTGTCCACGGCACGCAAGGACCCATGAACAAGGCATATGCCTGCAACAATTGCATGGAGTACTTTGCCGAGCTGTCGGCGGCCTTTTTGGGACAACCCGATCTGCATGCGAGTGAAGAGTACAACAAGTGGTGAGTTCGTTAGTGGCGTAGTGATGCATCCTTTTGGCTGTGGTGATTGATGGATGTCTTCCGCGTCGTATCTCTTTCCCCATGATTTCGTATGGATTGTCTTACCTGATATTCTTCAATCTCATCTCATCTCATGCCTGTTCATGCTTCCTTCCATTCCAATCCATTCCAATCCATGCAAACATCAGGTTCCCATTCAATCGACGACACATTAAGGAACACGATCCACGAGCCTACGAGATGTTGAAGAAGATATGGAAGGTAGATGATTGAGACATCATACTCAGCAACAATGTTCTCTGAAGTATGAAGTATGAGTCAAGTCGTCGCAAGAGCCGTGGGAAGGTTTGTATGTTGTTCTAAGTTTGAATGTCAATACACTGCCTGTCTGGAGTCTTTCGACGGACATCCTACACGACACGACGACAATTCATAGTTGTGCAATGCTAGCTAGACGACGTTTGGGGCTGGGAGATTATCCCATAGCAGCACATGTAGAAGAAGCAGCCAGTGTCTGTCGAAATCTTTTCGTCTAATAATATTCTTTAATGCCTAGTTGTATGCACCGTGGGAGACGGAGAGAATGAAGCAATCTGGACCTTTTGACATCCAGCATTGTTCCTGCGGAAATATTCCATACATCGCTCCTTGCGCATCACTACTACCAAGTACCACCACGCATTCTAGCTAGTGAACGTCGTTGAAGAAGCCTGTATGGAAACATAATAATTGGGTGAGTCTTTCTCAAGTTTCGCACAAACAAAACCACGCGTTCAGTTCGCCACGGCCGTGTCTTGGCTTACCTTGTGGTCTCATGCTGTGATCTACCACGAGGAATGGTTTCCACTCTTTCTTCTCTTCCTTCTTTACTGTGGTCTTCTTTTCGTCCTTCTTGGGTTCCTTTGTTACTTCAGGGGCCAACATTGTCAGTCTTCTAATTGGTATTCTTGAGTTACAGTTGTTTGTATGATTTGGTTTGCTTTGGTTTTAGATTTGTTTTGTGAGCTAATAATAAAGGAGTGGGTGGGGTGGGGGGATTTGAGAAACGGAAGGTTCTGATGTTCTGATTGTTGCTTCGCATTTTTAACACGATTCGAACCTCGCATACGTAGAACCCGTACTCAATTGGTCGTAGACGATCAGAACCCAGCATTTGAGAACCCAGCAGGTTCTTCTTCATCAGGCAATCAACGCCATCACTTCTTCGAAAGCAAAAGAAAACTACATGCAGCTTCAACTGGCTGGTTAGCTTGCTACAGCAGCTCTGGATCTGTTGCTGCGGAAGCTGGGAGTGAAGAGGAAAGAAGACTATCTTGATTGGATTCGTGAACGTGCTTTTCATGTACTTAGCTCTAGCTAGCTAGTAGGGAAGTTTTTCTGTCGTTTTGCATACACGTGTACCTGTCCCAGGGTGGACGTGATCTGCCGGTTCCACTGCTCTGATTTAGCACCCGACAGGATTAGTCCGGCTATGGCGTTGTGTCATTGTTGACAGCGATGCCATGCTTTTCTCTTCGTAGATTGCCGCTCTGCAGTTGATTTCAAGTTACACTCGATGTATCTATCTATCAAAACACGTGCTATGCATCTGTTTAGCGGCCCTTTGCCATGCTTATCTTGACCCCCCACGCCGCTTGCGTGAGCCGACGCGCTTTGTTGGCATCTTTAGCCTGCGCCTTCACAACTCCATCTTTGTCGACAGGCTGAGCCTTGCTTTTGTTCGATTGCATCTTCCATGTCGGGACTTCGCCACCGGTCATGCCACTGATACTTGGCAAAAACACAGGTTCTCTCGGGGCTTCTTCCTCTTCCTTTTCCTCCGCAGGTGTGTTGTTGCTGATGCGCTTCGCCTCCACAGATCCAGTGCGGCGTCCTCTGGCTTCTACAGACCCGGCCCGACGGCCCCGTGGCGCCTCGACCGATCCGGTGCGACGAATCTTTTTTGCCTCCACGGATCCAGTGCGACGATTTCGAGGTGCCTCCAACGATCCTGATCGTCGATCCTTTGGTGCCTCCACAGACCCTGATCGTCTGTTCTTTGGGGACTGACGTCCTCTGTTGGGCGTCAGCGATTCTCCCCGGGGTCGGTCAGCAGATTCAGTTCGACGAAGCCTACCGCGTGTTGGCGACTTGTCATTCCGAGGGGCTCGGCCTCTGCCGGATTCTCTCATGTGATGCTGAGAATAGCGAGGGTCCACATCGGCTGACTTTGTGCGTCGAATTCTAGCTCCGTTCCTACCAGAATTCTTCAAGCCACTGCTGTCAGCGCTGCTTCCACCAGTGGAAACCGACTCGTTGGTTCCTCCTGTACCGGATCGATGGTTGTTGTCGCTGAGTAAAGGCTGCAATTTCTTTCGGTCTTCCCTGGACGTCCTTTTATTTGCTTGGGTATCTGGCCGACTCCTATCACGTTCACCTCCCTTTGATTGCTGTTTGGATTCCGGCTGTGATCTGTTGTGCGCACTTGGCCTGTCCCAATCCATTACTTGATCAATTTCGTCATAATAGCTGGTTCTGCTTTGTTGGAGTAAGGAGGATGATCCAGCAGCTGCAGCAGCCTTGTTCTTTCGTGATCGACTGTTGCTGCGACTGCGGTCTCGTTCACCTCCCTTTGATTGCTGTTTGGATTCTGACTGTGATCTGTTGTGTGCACTTGGCCTGTCCCAATCCATTACTTGATCAATTTCGTCATAATAGCTGGTTCTGCTTTGTTGGAGTAAGGAGGACGAGCCAGCTGCTGCAGCAGCCTTGTTCTTCCGAGATCGGCTATTGCTGCGACTGCGGTCACGGTCCTTTCCTCTTGATTGTTTACTACTAGTAGAGCGACTTGGCGATTGGCTCTGTTGGGATCGCTTGGAGGTGTTCGAACGTCCACTTTCATCTTCCATCGGTTTGCCGTCATGTCGCTTGGACGAGCTGGAACGCCCACTTTCATCGTCCATTGATTTGCTGTCATGTTTCTTGCTGCCGCTGTTTTTTCCAGAAGATGCATTGGACACCTCGCTCAGAATATTATCATCCCGAGCCAAAATATTTGCAATCCCTCGGCTCACTGGTCGGTCGGCCTTTAACCCTGGTTTGCCTTGTAAGTAGTCAAGATGGCTGGAACTCTTGCTAAGTTCGGTGTCAGTTTCGAAACTTCCCGAGCTTTTGTTTAGACGCGAATTGGCGGAAGACGTTGTGGATGCTGACAATATGCTTCCGGAACTCTTGTTGAGTCTGTCTCTTGCAGAGGAGGATGAACCAGAATGATGCTTCGACGACTTATTGTGCCTGGACTCCTTGTCTCCTGCTCGTCTGGTTCGAGTCGGCGATTTGGAGGATGACTTATTGTCCTTGTTGCGAGCAATCCCCGACAAGGACTCGCCCAGCGTCACACTGTTCGACATCGAACCATATTTGTTGGATCTTGTCGGTGTGGTATCCCGACTTCGTCCCCGGTCGTCCTTTGACTTTCCTCTACTGCCAGCACTATTGGTCGTGCCGCCACTAGTTGTCGTGTCACGGGATCTGCCACCTGCCGAATCATCCTTCATGCGACTGCTGCTACCACCACTGTCACGGGATCTGCCACCGGCGGAATCATCCTGCATGGGGAGCACCAATCCTCCCGACTTGGAGGACGAAGCATGACCACGTCCCTCCTTGAGATTGGGATGAGGGCCACTATAGCTACTAGAAGATTGTGTTGTTGTTCGTCTGCCTTCTTCCTTCAGATTGGGGTGAGGGCCACTATAGCTCGAAGACTGTGTTCGTTTGGGAGATCGACTTCTGGGTTTGTTGGTGGTGAGATGGTTGCTGCTGCCTCCTTGCTTTCGGGATTGAGCGTCCTGCGACTTGGACCGGCTGATGGCTCTCTTGGGGCTTTTGCTCGTACGCATGTTTTTTCCTCGAGTCGTTGGAGGGACATCGCTGGGTACATGATTATTCCTGGAAGGAGGGACATCGCCGGGGGTATTTCTCCCGCGGCTTGGCGGTGGCGGCGGTATAATTTCAGCTGGTTGTTTCCTGCCCGAATTCTTTGGCAGCTGTGGTAGCTTTTTAGTATTCGTATTGGCATTCCGAGGTTGTTGTGGCTTATTAATAAAGACATCCGAATCGGTCTTGGTGCGACGAAAAAAGTGCGAGTCATCCTTGGATTGTTGCTGTTGCGCTTGTTGGAAAGGATCAAACTGTAATGCATCCTTCTGTTTGGTAGCAGAAGGAAAACCGGCAGTTTGGGCTCTTTTAAATCCCGGCAAATCAAAGGGCATGCTGTCTAGATTGGCAAACGGATCGCCCATACTCATCATGCTATCTCGCTTCAGGTCATCGAAACTGGTAGCAGAGCTGGATCTTCGGAGCGTCCCTCTTCCAAACAAGGGAGATTTCAGCAGTTTGGGCGATTGTATCATCATCTTGTCAAAGCCTTCCAAGTTGAGGGCAAAGCTACTTCGGGAAACTGGTGACAAATTTGTATTATTGTGTAGATCCAACACAGGGACGGCAAAGGGATCGTGGAGCGCAAATTTGGTTTGGGTGCCTCCCGTGGATGGTCGAGTAGTGGTATTCCAGTCAAAATCATCAAATGCTCCTTCTCTTAGAGATTCAAATAAAGGAGGCGCATTATCTTCTCCAGATAACAAACCTTGATTTGGATCCCCCATTGCTCTCTTGTTGCCGTGATTGTTCCTCGGAGTCGCTATCATACAGAATGCTATGGAAATTTTTGTGGAACCGGTATCCGAAAATATTCAATTTCTCACAGCCTTCAATAAAAACACCGCTTCGATCTTGACAGGGGCTAGCATCCAGTTGGGATATTATGGCAATTGCAGGCTCCTCGCTAGCTAGCTTGGCAACATACAAATCGGCGTGGGTTCGCAAGTTTAGTAGAATGTTGTTGTGGCTCAGCAAGTCTGGAGCATGGAGGCTCACGATCAACACTTGCTAGCTAAATAGATTGCGGGTTGGATGTTGGATCTACGAGGCCCAAAGCCCAAAGAACATCATGGATTCTGGTATGGTACCTGGTACCGGTACCAATCAGGGTACCGTACAGTCACGTAGGCTACAGTACTCACAGATCACAAAGACCAAAGACCCAAAGAACAGCTAAAGAATCAGGATGGACATCGGTTTTTAAAGGTTGTTATGTCTTCAGGATGCCGTGATGTAATCCTGTAACGTCCGGACATATTTAAATATTGCATTATCTAATTACAGTACATTCAATTAAATAAAGGTGGCACTCATGAAAGGGTCATCTTTCTCTTCGTTATACTGATGTTTCTATACTCTTCTGGTAACCATTCACCGTCGAGAAAACTGCATGGCCGCCAGACTAGAAGCCATGGTCTCTCCTTCTTTAGTAGTGACAAGTGACAGCTCGGCCTCTTTAGCTAGCTAGTATCATACGGTAGCTAGCTAGAGCTCTTCGCAGTTTACTACTACTTGGAGGCAGGACCCACTATAGGAGTAGTAATACCTGGTATCGGTTACCAGAGACAGTGGCAGCGGTGACCGCATTGGATTCTGACAATGGCATCATCAGCTGCTAACAATGACAAGCTATCAAAGAAGCAGCAGGCTTACTACGACCCCGTCTTGGCTTTGCTCATAGATGATGAAGAATCTGAAAACGAAGACAGGAATGATGGCTTTGCTGACGAAGGAGACAACATTGATGTACCCTCTCCTCCTGCCGACGCTGATGGCAGTACCACTGCTGTCCAAGATCATGTTGACAAGGAGGACAAAGAATTGGCCGTAGCGAAGATGGAATGTTCATTGGGCTCGAAGAAGGATACTCCAGGTGCTGAAGGCACGGCAATGTCTGCCACAACTGCAGGGAACAAACAAGCAGATGCCGCCGCTATCGCAAAGATTCGAGCCATCACGGAGGCTCAGGATGACGCCTTTGCCCGAAAGTGTCGGCAAATCCCAGGCAACAACGCCAATCCAAATCCTACCACCAATAACCAAAGCACTAATAACACCTATGTATCAATAATGCCAGGAGCCATTGCCGTCGATGGGATAAATGCTTCCGCTGCAAGAAGAAGAGAAAGAGATCAAGACATAACCCAAGATTCTACTACGTTAACCGCACAAGAGAGTCAGGAGGAGGGGCGGAGCAGCGAATTACGGGCGGCACTGAACCCTCGTCCAAGTGCTAGAATTTCAGCCTCTGCAGCTCTACATGCAAGCTTAGTGTACTCCAATGAATACTACAACAATGAAGAAGATGGCATACCTGATCTGGAAGACCTCGAAGAGGCTCTAGATGTGGTCCGTATGTCCCATCCTAATGGCAGGAAGAATGGCAATGATTCTGTCACAACCAACAGGTGGCTTCTTCTCGGATTGACTATTCTGGTGTTTGCAGCGATCATGGCAGTTGTGCTGGGGTTGATACTCGGTAATAACAGCACTGATACCACTCCAACAGAGACACAAACCCGGGCTCCGACGGCAAATGACATCAGTGCACAGGCTATCATAGTATACCCTCCATATGATGAAACATTACCGGTAGCAACTCTCAAAGCCATCCAAGATCCATCAAGTCCATTGTATCATGGGAATGCATGGATGATGAATGATCCAAACTTGGATAGCTATCCTCTTTGGCGCAAACATCAACGATTCAGTATGGTCACACAATACTATGGTGCCGCTGGAGACGACTGGTTCCGAAAGGATGACTGGCTTTCGTATGATGTTTCCGAGTGTGCTTGGTACACATCCAAGAACCCAAATAATCCATGGACATGTGATGAGGAAGGTCACTTTGTGACTCTTGATTTGCACTCGAACAATTTGGAAGGAATTCTCCCACCAGGACTACTTTTTGAATGGTTGGAATATATTGACATGTCCAACAACCAACTACACGGAACACTTCCTGCCATGTTTGACTTTTCACCTGTGCAAGTGTTGATGGTACACAACAACAGCTTCCGTGGACCACTCATTGGAAACTTGAACCATGTGCCGGAGACACTTCGCATACTCCGGCTTGACGGCAATCAACTGGAAAGCCAATTTCTTGGATACATGTCAGCAGTGGCACCAAACATTGAGGTTCTGAACATTAGCTCCAATCGATTTGGAGGATCGATGGCACAGTGGAAATCCATTTCCAACCTCAGGTACCTGGGATTGGCAGACAATGACTATGTTGGCGCCTTGCCCACTGAGCTTGGGCTTGTGACAACGCTGCAAGAGATTGATCTATCGGGCAATGCCCAAGTTACTGGCAGTGTTCCTTCAGAGCTAGGCCAACTGGATCGTCTCCAAATGCTGGATATATCGGGGACTGCCTTGACTGGGGCTATTCCCAAGGCCCTTTGCTTTGATTTTCTCACCATTCGAGCCAATTGCAGTCTCCTGCAGTGTTGTCAGAGGTGATCATTTTATTAAACATGAATACTTTTACATATCCTTTGTTGCTAGCTAGTAGTATATCTCTTGCCAATAGCTACTTGAGTTGTAGCTATCTCGGAAGGGTACTGGTACGGTACTGACCCTATTGCACCGCTGCACCGGGGATGCAGCGCCATGGATTCCACAAAGCTACACCCTTTGGCCCCCATAATGGTCCTCAATTTATGGCTCCTGATCCCACGGAACCCAGTCCTGAAATTTGGACTCTTCTTTGCTTATGCCTTGCCCTCGCTGGATTCATCATTCATAGATGAGCCACCTACCAGTGCAGTGTACCGTACCAGGTGTTATCCCTCTAGATCATAAACTCCCGTTTGGGCCAACCTGACTGAGTCAGTCACTCGAGTCAAGTCACTCATCATTCAGCATTCAATCAATCACGTTTTAAACGTCACTTGTTCAAGATATCCAAGTTCTTTTCCGAAGCTGGCAGCTGCGAATGAATGAGCCGACGACGATGACAGGGGCACAAAATTTGCTGCCGCCTCAATACATTAGCGACATTACGGCATTTGCTAGCCAGTGGCTATCTAGCTAGAGCTATGAATAATAAAAGTGACAAGATGATAGAGAAGGAAGCTCTTCTTCGTAGTGTACTGGATGTTGTCAGTGAAACTGGGTTTCTTTCGCCTGTAACGGTGCAATGCTTGGAGCAGGACAATGACGTGAATACTACATGTACCTTTTGGTGTTCACCCCATGCAACGGTCCAAGAAATCAAGTCCATCCTTCGAGAAAAACTGGACCTAGCAGCATCCACAGAAAACGATTTCAGTAGTGTTTTACTGGACTTGAAAGATACGGCTACTGGAACCAATGTCTTTGTTCATTTGGAGACAGCCAAGCCTCCGGCCGCCACCGAGCTGACGGTGAGAACGCGCCAGATGGATCCCTTTATCCATGGATTGTTCCGAATGGCCGGTATGACGACGGAAGCCGATTTGGACGACATGATGGAACGCATCATGGTACCTCGAACGAAACGAGATTGCCCTGGTTCCCACGCCTTGCCAACCAAATGCCAAGTCATGTGTGACTTGTGCCAAGCATATGCAAGGCCTGGCCGATGGTGCGAAGAATGTGATTTTGCGCTCTGTGACAGTTGCTTTCAAAGTGATGAGGGAAGAAGAGTGAGCAGCACGGAACAACAACATGCGTCGTCCGATCCCTACGACCAACTCATTGAAATGGTAAAATACATTGGAAGAGAGCATGCGTCTTTGGTGGAGGGATCGGGTGCCGGATCCGGTGGTTTTCTGTGGGATCCAACACTAGGTGGTGAAGTCAGACCCTCCATATTCGGCAATGAGGATCGGTTCATGTACGTGCGACAAGGCAGTAAGATTTTGCAGGCCGGAACGAGGCTTGTGATTCTGCTCAGCGACAAGCTTCGGTCCGTTGTTGTGACAAACGATGATGATGCTCCGATAGAATCCAATACTATCCGAAGAAAAGACAATGCACTTCTTCCTGGAGAAACTGACACGATTCTTCGAAATGGGGCAACCAGTCCAGAAGTTCTGGGGCACGGAAGGAAACTTTTGGCGGATAGAACCAGCTGGAGGAGAGTCACCCAGGCGTTGTCCAACATTGTCGAACGAGCAGGCATGGAAGGGTTCGAAGACGCACCGGAAGCCTACAATCTCAAAATGAGATTGGTTTCCTTCCAGCCACACAAAGTCGTCTATGTCGTTACGGCAGAGATTTGTCACATTTATTGCGCTGACCGTTCCATGCCACAGGGTGCCGATATGTATCAGTTTTTCGATCACAGAGCACGCACATTCGAAGCGCTACAAGAGGCTGGAGCCGTTCTCTAGCTAGCTAGTTATGATAGCTTGCCAGCAATTACGCAGAGGAATCGAATCGATGCAACTACTCTAGCTAGTACTTTTGAGTTGGCTACAAAAATAAGAGAAACCAAATTTTGTTTTCGGAACTTCGAGTGACATCCACCACCGGTTTGCCATTGCATGAATATACCATCGCTTGAAATCCTCATACATGAATCTATGGAGTGAGTACATGTAATACGTAGCCATATAGCCATACAGAAAAAACACTGGGCGTCTACCAGTAGCTGAACACGGTCAGCCAACCCACGAAAACGCACTGGTTCACGAATTTTATCTTCCGGTGTGGCTCGAGGGATGTCAGCGACAGAACACTGAGATACAGCGGTACGGCACGGCAACCTCAAAAAATTGTACATTGCACTATTCCTTTTTCGTATTGCTTTGTAGTAGGTACGGTATGGGTGCTACGAACACAGACACGCGAGCCTCGACGCGTAGAAAGTATTCCGAGATACCAGCACCTGCTTTCGTTTTTAAATCGTTGTTGTTGTTGTTGGTATTGCAGGAGTTTGCCCCCCCTTCTCGTACATGTACGGCATCTGTTACAGTTAGTTGTCGTTTGTTTGTTGTGTGTCTTATATTAGTCGGTAAGCGATCGACGGGAATTTCTTCGCTCCAACCAAGCCCCAAAGCTGCTGGTGGACTCGTTTCCGTGCATGCTGGAAGCCAGGTCCTTATCCTTCCTTCGTAACCATCGGCTATCCAAGGCTTCAAAGGGAGTGAAGCGATCATCTGGGTCCACCTGCAACAGATGCATGATCAAATCTTTGGCGGATGCAGGAATATCGTCCCAATACTCTTCATGGAATTCGTAATTGCCTGCTGTGATCAACTCTGCAAGCTCACATTCCGGCGCATCAAATGGTGCGTATCCTCCCAAGAGGACATAGATAACAATCCCACAGCTCCACATATCGCACAGCTCATTGTACCCATCTTCATGGGTCAACAATTCTGGAGCCACATACTGAGGTGATCCACAGAGTGTCTTGAGACATTTGGGCCCTGTGATCTTTTTGGCACATCCAAAATCAGCCACCTTGATGTGAGTTAGATCATCATCTTTCACAAGCACTGGAGATAGATGTAAACGTAGATTGTAGTGTGTCGAAAAAAAAAAACACAATGATTTCATCACAATCGCGAGGGAACGAGAACCAGCGAAGAAAGGACGACTAGTGAGTATGAAGGAAATATATGGAACAGTGTCATTCTGGCTGGTGCTCTTGTGTATACCTACATATGTTCTCTGGTTTGATGCTGCCAGGATAAGATCAATTGATCCACCAGAAGAAACAAACAGCACATGGTCAGTCAGGAACAATTAGCACAGCAAAGCGAAACGCAGACCGGTTTGTTTCCCTGTCGATCAACTTACTCCCTATGGCATATTCTTTTCTTGTGGCAATAGTCCACAGCTTCTACCAACGTCCTGGCAACTTTCCGAGCATCCCTTGGTTCATAGACTTCGATTTCCGTCAACTTATCGAGCAAATCACCACCCTCCATAATTTCCTGCACCATCATGGTCCTATCGGGTTCATAGTATACATCCAAGAGTCGCACAACATAGGGACCTTCTCGTAGGAGTTTCAAGGCATTGATTTCCCCCCGGACAGATTCCCCTGCTGACTTGTGATTGTCGGTGGACAGTATTTCTTTGACAGCGTACTCGTGACCATTCTTTTTGTGGGTGCATCGGTAGACAAAGGCAAAACCACCCTCCCCCAGTACATCTCCCATGTCGTAGACATCATCAAATGGGATACCACTGGCACTGTCGTTGACCAGGAGCGAGAGTTGAGATACTTTGTTGCCACCACCCTCCTTTCCATTTTCTAATACCTTGAGAAAGTCCTTGCCTAATTTGCGTTTGGACTTTTCCACATTGGGCGGGGGCGTGAGGGGGGCATCACCGACGGTGCCGCCATTTTGAAGAGACATGGACTGCAGACTTCCCTCCAGCACATCAGAAGCTTTTTTCTTGGGTGCCCCATCGTCATCATGGAAGGAGTCCTCCCCATCAGTGGACTCATCGTCTATCTTCAGGGCCGCTTTGCCAATATCCAAGATGTTGATGGAATGGCGGCTGGATAAATCGTTCTCGGCGCCGCTGGATGTCATGATGCAGGGTATATTGTTGATGTATGTATGTCGGTGGCAGTTTCGGAAGCAGGGAAACAGCTATTCTAACTTCTGTGCACTAACGCGGTGGCTACCACTAGCTAGCTAGTGAGTCCAGATATTATTTCTTGTGTAGACTTTCCAACGTCCTTGTCGATCGATCGGCTGGTGGCGGGAAAGGATGTTGGAACCTCTCAATGACTGGTTTTGTGCCAAAGTGGACCAAACCTGGATTTCCTTCCACACACGTAAACTCTGATGAGGTGTCGAATGGTTTGCGGGGGTAACAAACAAGTCGTCGACCGAGGCTTTGCTTCTGTCTAATACCAGTCACCTCGCAGGGCGTCGATCCAGGCCGATCGACGGAAGCTGCAAAAGTGCGTGGACACTGTGCCTGGCACAATAGGAGGCTATGATTGTGTGTCTGATGAGTGGGTAAGGAGTTAGCTAGACTCGAAAAAGATGCTCTGGACTAAACGCTACTGCCCTGTTACTAGTACTATTAATAATAGTAATCACAGTTAGTTTGTCTTACTGCTTGTTGTTGCTTGTCCTTTATTGTTTATCGTCCTTCGTCCAGACACACATTTATTTGAGGTCATGCTCTTCCTAGTGAGATAAAAAGCCAGTCAGGTTGTTGAAAATAGAACCGGACAGGAGGACGGGAAACCCACAGGACAACCCCTCACAAACCTCGTCGCAATCGCATCAAAGATGCGTATGTCTTTCATCTCTGCATCTTTGTGGCTAGCACATGCCTGTCATCTGCTTCCTTGAAAATTATCTCATCAACCATGTCTCTCTGTACCGTAGGACACAGGCATGGTTGATAAATGGATGGAAGAAGCATGTGCACCCTTCAAGACTTGCCATTCCTGGCTAAACAAGTTGACCCTTCCAACCAAGGTTCCATTGCTGAAATTTCCCACCATTCCCACACTGATTCCAGCAAAGTAGCCAGACATAATTTGCGCCAACGCGGCAAGCTTATTATTACATGCAGGTAGGTCAAAAACGTCCTTGTTCTTTTCAGTCATGATGGGCGAAACATCTTTGGCGCTGTGCCCGAACCAGCTAGTCTTCATCCTCAACGAGCACCAGGCACTATGGAAGTCATACCGGGCTAGAAAACGGGGAGAGGTGATGCAGTTTGAAGAAGTTGGGGGTGAGCCAAAAGAACCCACCCCTTTCCACGATCCTGACGTCATCGTGGATCTTTTGTTCTCAGTAAGCCTCCAATGATGGACGATGCTGGACGATGGACCGCCGCAGTGACCATGCATTTAGAGACTAGAGCGTATTACCCGTACATGTAGCACTCTAAGGCAAACAAACAGATCAACCATAATAGAGTCATGACACTATCCAACGGCAGAATCCTTGTTGCCGTCAATGGGATCTTTGCAGTCAGTCGGCAAAGAGGCGGCGAATTTCTGGCGTCATTTTCAAGTCAGCTGCAGAATTCTATCCTGAGGAAAGAACTCGATGTTGCCATCCAGGGCAATGATCCACCCAGTCTGCTGTCTTGCATCGTTGGCGAAAATTCGGATAGTGAAGACGAGACAGAAGACTGCACCACGTTTCACTGTCACTTAAAGTTTGAATGTGCCACCAGAGAAGAGGCTGTTGCTGCTTTTGTCGACAACAAACCCAAGCTGTTTCGATGGGATGAATCCGCCGTCAACCATCCTCCCTTTTATTTGTTGCGACCACCCCAAATCAATGTCTGGACAGTGGCTCCGGAGGCTCCCGATGCTCCACCCAATCCCAAGCCAACGCCAACGCCTCCGGGATGTAGGCTGTTTTGTCTCAACGCCAATCTACACGTTCGACCAGAACATCGACAAGAGTTCCTACAACTGCTGGAACATGCTCGATCGGAGTCCATCCAAGAGCCTCTTTGCGTCGAATATCAGTTTGGGGAATCACTCACAACGCCCAATTCATTCCATGTTCATCAGGCGTACATGGGTGACAATGGTGGAAAGGAAGGATTCGACAAGCACGCCACAACCCAACACTACCAGAAATGGAACGACTTTTCCAAGGACGAGAACAAAGATCCCTTTGTCACAAAACCCGTAGGGTACACATTTCGACCCGGCTTTCCTGCTCCATCACCGTTGTTGCTATTGGATGGAGGCAATGGCCACGAACTCAAGCAACGCGGAGTTATCAGCGACGGAAGCTTTCTAGCGGGATTGCTGGCCAATGAACAGCAACCCGAGATTGTCCAATCGGTGCACCGGGAATTTGTCCGGGACGCTGGTTGTCACATCATCACCACCAATAGCTTTGTCGCCGTGCCCGATCGCGTCGAACGGGATTTGTTCACTTGTTCTGGCAATGACAATTGTTACACCCAAGAGGATGTACAGGAACGAACACGACAACTCATACAAGCTGCTGTCCATTGTGCACGCACTGTCGCCAAGGAATTTCCGGAAAGGAACATCCAGGTGGCAGGGACTATTCCACCCTTGACAGAATGCTACGTAGCCTCGTTGGTGCCAACCACAAGCCTATCATCGTTGGTACTCACGTACAGGTTCTTGATAGAAACCTTGGTGCAAGCCGACGTGGACATTTTGCTGGCGGAAACCTTGTCAACTAGTCGGGAAGCGATTGCCATTGTGAAGGCAATGTCACAACTCAAACAACCACCACCACCACTGTGGATTGCCTTGACCATTGACGATTTTAACAACAATCCCACCACGTTGCGGTCTGGCGAGCCCTTGGACCAAGCTCTCAATGACATTTTCCAGGAAGCTTTAGCAGCCATCATTTCCATACGCGCCCTGGGGGTCAATTGTGCTTCGCCAGCGGCCGTCACGAGGGCCATTCCCGTTCTGGTGCAAGCTGCCAACAATCAGCCACAACGTCCCCAAATCCTGGCATATGCCAATGCCTTTCAAACAACCACATCCGAATGGCTCGCGAGATCTGACGAATACCCGTACATTCATGACAGTTCTGACATTCCAGCTTTGATGATTGTCGCCTCGGGGGAAGTCAACTGTGATCACGACTATGATGCACAGGGAGTACTCAAGCCCGAGGTGTATGGCCAGTACGCCAAGGAGTGGCGGGCATTGGGTGCCACAATTATTGGCGGATGCTGTGGATCCTCACCGAGTCACTTGCAAGCGGTGGCCACCGAGCTTGGTTTGGATAGTCGTCGATGAAAACAACCATGTTTTCTTTCTTGAAATTTTGGAATCGATTCAATCGAAATGGTCGCACTTTGACACTACCCTAGCTAGGATGATTGATAGATTGATAAACCCGACACATTCACATGGACACGACGGCGCTGTGATCGAGCACCTAGCTAGCTGTATCGTACTATACCGGTATCGTGCTTCTTGCTAGTAGCTCGTCGAGCAGACAGGCAGCAAAGAAACAGGTCGACTGCGGTCACAACGCAACAATGTCTAGTTGTCCCACTTTCGCGAAATAGTCAATAGTCAAGACCTTATTGGAAAGCACAAAACTCCACAAGAGAGCGTCCGTGTGACGCGATTCGATTCATGTTTCTTCGTCGTTGACGATTACTGTGGAACCATCTCAAGCTCCTACACGACCAGTTCCAACGTAGCGGGCCTCCGCTACACACTGTGAGGCTCTTGACGGAACCGTGTTGTACGAGTAGCTTGAACCCCGACGGCGGCGACGTTGTCGTGTCGCTTTTACTGAAGCGCATCATTAGTTTGACTGTACAGCGATGCTAGTGCGCGGAAAGTAGAGTAAGAGTTTTTTCTTGGCGTTTTATAGTACATATATGTTAGTTTAGTTTGAGACGAGTACAACTTGAGAGGTCGGCAAGAGGCGAAGCGGGCAAGATGCCGTCGCGTGTACAAACAAATTTGTGGCAAAAGTCCGCTTCTTCTGGGGGCTTTCTCGACTGTGTTTGACCATCACAGAGCAGATTTGTATTCCTCTTGCCTGCTTCAAGAACCAGTGGTCTTCTGGTGCGCCAAAACACACGCTCCTTTTGTAAACGTTGACGTGATTACTCGGCGAGTTGCTTTTCGCGACTGTCTAGCCGATCGCATAATCTTCGACGTCCAGACGCAACATGCCACAGTAGCCACAACAAAACTGAGCAGAAACAGTTCTCGGTTCAAGTAGCCCGCCTCGGGTGTGGCGACGCAAAGCAGAAGGATCATTGCGAAGAAGCTGAAATGACAGCCGAGAATCAACGCGCACTCAATCCCCGCAATGAAACCGTTTCCAATCTTGTTCAGCGTGTCATTGAAATCGTTGCCGACTTGAGTCAGAGTCAAGGGTCTATTCAATTCGTCCACTTTTGGGGCAATTTCTTTGCTTGCTTTCTCGATTCTGAGTTTTCGCGGCTGTTCTGCCGATCGCATAATCTCCGACGTCCATACGTAAAATGCCGCAGTAAGTACAAGAACAAAGAGGAGAAACACGCCACAGGGTAACGGTGGTTGGTTGAAGTAGCCCGCCTCGGGTGTGGTGACGAGAAGTAGTAGAATCACGTTGACATAACAGCCGAACATCAAGGCGCACTCAATCCCCGCTTGCAGCGTAGCAATGAAATTGCCCATGGTCGATACAAAAGAAAGGACAAGAGTTGTCAAAGTACCAACGTCAACGAATAAAACCGATAAAAGGTCGCAAAATAAATGAGACGAGAGGAATGGCCGAATTTTGCACCGAGCGTGCAAACGGCCCTCAAAAAGAAACGGCGGTAAAACCGGGATTGATCGAAGCGCATCCTTTGACTGATGGGCTTGAGAAAGATGGACGGACCGAAACAAACCTGCCGTGGTGCATGTTGGTCATCTGACGATAGGAAGTGATAGACAAAAGCAACGAGGAGGGTTTTTCGCTGACCAGATGGAACCTGACATGGGTCTATGCCTTGGAACGAGCGACAACCCCCTGGACAATTCGTGAGAAATTCGATTCTGGCCCAGCGACTTTTCTGAATGGCACGATACGGGGGTTCAGTGCTGGTGAGGCAAAGTATGCAACTACAGTACCGGTAAGCAGAACACAAGGGAGCTGCAGGGTAAGCACATTCATAAAGAGAATTGGTCAGCTCACATGATACAGCATGCCCTCTCAAGGGTTGTAATGGCGGCCGGAGGTTGTTGTTATGGAAGTACTCAAGGTTGATGCCACCGCTTATAGGATGCTACTGTAATGAACGTGTCATGTAGTGCCTGGAATCTAGTAGCACACGCAACGCGATCGACCCAACGATTTTATCCTTAGAAGCGCGAGTTGGAACAATTTGGCTTTCTTTTAGTATGCGGTACAGTACGGTCTTTTAATAGTTGATGGTCCACTGTAGATGGATGCCAAGTCCGCCAAGAGAGTTTTCGGAAGAACTGAGTGTGGTTCGACCAGGTTTCCTTTGAAATCGAGCCAATCTCGCCTCCATTTCCAATTCACGCACTTGGATTTGCTTTGCTTTGCTTTGCTCGAACCTTGAGGAGCCTCTCATTGGAATGGCGCTGACGTTTGGCCTTGTAGAGTCCTTTCATTGCAAGGATGTTCAAGCGGGCTGCCCCGCAAAAGCCATCGGGCAATCGAAACTTGAATGGTGACGTTCAGCACAACCAACTCGACTGGTAGCACAAGCAACACGCTTTCCTTGCGGAAGTAAGAAAGAACCGAGTCGTTACCAATAGGGAGAAAGAACCGGACAGTATCACGAGGCAAGAGAAAGACAAAAGCGAAAGGAGAATCATAGTGATCCATCCACCCGTCCACTGACGTCGCGAACAGTTTGGTTGGTTTGAACGATCGATTCGTTCAACCAAGAAAGCTCCGAGACAATACCGATTGCGGTTTCACGACCAAGCTCTTTCCTTCTCTTTCGCCCTTGCTAGACATGCCCAGATGATAGCCTCCGCCCTGGTTGAGCTGATGTTTTCTTTTGGCACCTGTGCAATAATAATTGCGACCAGTTTCCCCCATTCCAAGCCCAAGTTTGCTGCCCCGACCCTCAAACTTCTTCCCTTGTGACCACAAATCCTACTCTTCTATCCGGAAGCGAAGGTAGACTGGCAAATGATCCATTGGATGCAACTTTGCATTCCAGTAGACGGGATCTCCCTTCTCCACCAATGCCCTACCAGGTTCGTTGTACCATATACGATCACACCAAGCCGGGAATCTCTGCTTTTGATAGCAGGCTGTGAGTGCTTGATCTTCTTCTTTGTTGTTGTCGCCAGTATTGTTGTTTTCCAGTAGGTTGGTCTGGTTGCTGCGTGCTATGGCTGGATCGTCCTCTAATAGGTACGTGGGACCAAATGCAATGGGCATCTCGGTCATGACCATGCCCGATTTTTCTTGGATGATTTGTTGCATCAACTTGGGTTCCTTGTCAAATTGTTCGCGGATCGTCGTCCAGTGGTTGGCCCGATGCAAATAGTCCCAGACTTGCGAGCTGGCGTGTATTTTCTTCTTTTCCAATTCAATTTTCGTCGTAGCGTCCTCGACTGTTTCTTCCAAGTGTGCCTTGAGACCATGCGTGTCGAGACGCATGTTCCAATCGCCAAATAGAAAGAGTGGCAACTCTTTATTGTTGTTGTTGAAGGTGGTGGCTTGCACAATGGCTTCGAGGCGTTTGTGCACATATTCCGAAGGAAATGGCTGCGAGGCTGCGACAGTGTTATCGGCATCATGCAACAAATGGAGGTTCATAAACTGGAGCGTTGTCGTGTCGCCGATGCGCAACCTGGTTTGTAGATATCCTTTGCGACTGGTACCCGCATTGGAAAACTTGGCGCTCTGAAAGAAAGACGAGCTGTTGTCTATCTCCTGGACGGGGACAAACTTGTCTTTGGCAACGGACCAGAGCGCGACTCGTTCCACCACTCGTGCACTGCAAAAGAGGACGGTTCCCATGGCGGTAAAGGTCGTCACGTCATTTTCCATGGGAGCCAAGAGGCCGCTACACCATGCCGCCGTCGGGTAGCACTGTGTCACCATTCCCTTGAAATAGTCGTTAAAGGCTCCATGAAACTTTTTGCCACCCATTTCCTGGAAATGGAGCACCAGCACGTCCACAGTAGTGCCACTGGCTTCCACAAAGGCAGCGACGGATTGACACCATTGTTCCGTCATGGCCTGGTTCTCGGCTGTCACCTCATTTTCGACGTTGCACTCGATGCTACCGATATTTTGAGTCAATAAAAGGACGTTCAGCATGATGCTCGGGTAGGTTACTAAATCAATCAAGGAGGACAAGAGCAGTACGGTACCGTACAGCAACTGCAGGTGGGATCAAGGAGGCTGCTGTTGGATTCTAATTCTTGGATCTTTGTTTTGCTGATGCTGGGAGATTTTGTTCTTGGCGCTTCTTCACGATGACTGTCGCTCGACTCAAAGTCATCGAATGCCTCATTATTTCTCTCTATCGAGCCTTTGACCAGGTCTTGATAGTTATCTTGATCATGATGAGCACCGGAACAAGCAGCAGGTGGAACGATGGACTCGGCAATACTACTACTAGTATGAGATGGAAATCCATGGTGTTGGTTCTGGTGATCGCTGCTGTGGTTGCCGCCGTCGGGTTTGTCTCGAATGGTACCACTATGGCTGTGACTATCAACAGTGGCACTACTAGTAGCAACCGACTGCTTCAATACGTAAATAACGACGGACCTCTCATCAAGCAACCAAGCACACGATTTGAAGACTTGGTGGCACTCTTGGTCAGGGCCGACATCAGTGCCCTCCAGGATTTGGAAGACCCCAATTCTCCTCAGTATCAGGCGGCCGACTGGATGGCCAATGAGGACGAGTCGGAATTGGATTTGGACGGCGACACCAACCTCCCTGCCATTACCCAGCGATACGTCCTGATGGTATTCTATTTCGCCATGGGAGGACCAAACTGGGCCCATGGATTGAATTTCTTGGAACCTGTCAATGAGTGCGAGTGGAACCTTGATGCCATAGTGGGCGATGGCCTCCCTCGGACGTATGGATTCACTTGCTTTGGGGACACGGGGACCGTTCGGAGATTGTATATGCGTAAGTAGTAACGTACGAAAGAGGGGTATCCAGAGATCTTTCTTCCATTGGCTCATCTATGTTCTGTGGCTTCTTCCATTCCTTCATCATCTATGTATTCTTCCGTCAGCCCCCAACTTTTTGGAAGGTTCCTTTCCCATGGAACTGTCTTATTTGACGCACTTGGAAGACCTCTTTGCCTTTAACAATCCAGACCTCACGGAACCTTTTCCAGCATTCTTGCAAGGTCACGAAAATATTGAAACCATTGGGCTGCACTACTGTGCTCTCAATGGCACACTGCCCGAATGGGTGGGTGATTTGACATCCCTCGAGAGCCTCGCCTTGTCCAACAATCAATTGGAAGGATCACTCCCTGAGAATTTTTCCAATCTGACCAATCTGCAGCAGCTATACCTCGATGACAACTTTTTCCTAGAGGTCAACATGACCTTGTTGGCCAACATGACGCGTCTTAGACATTTGATCTTGGAACAAACCATACTAACATCATCGTGGATGCTCGATGACATGTTGATTGGTGGCTGGCCACGATTGGAGATTCTAGACTTGAGTGAATGCAACTTGACTTCCACCATACCCACCAGCCTATTACAACATACCACGCTGCGGATTCTGGATCTCCACGACAATCAACTTTACGGAACATTGCCCACTCTACTTTCAGACACCAACACCGCTCTGGAATTGCTGGCACTCAACTACAACAATCTTGCAGGGGAAATTCCCACCGCATTTGGTCAACTCGTCGCCCTGAAGCACTTGGATCTCTCTGTCAATCAATTCACTGCCACCATTCCGGATGCATTGAGTGAAATGAGTGATTCTCTGAGAATTCTATTCTTGGCATCCAATCCCTTCCAAGCTTCACCCATTCCCTCGTTTTTGCAGGACATGACCAATCTCATCGAATTGTCCTTGAAGAATACGGCACGAACCGGAGAGATTCCCTCGTGGATTGGCAACACTCCGCCAGACTTGACATTGCTCGATTTGGGAGAGAACGAGTTGAGAGGGTCCATTCCAGGTTCTTTAAGTGGTTTGGCCTTTCTACGAGTGCTGATGCTGAATCACAATCAGCTCAGTGGCACCATCCCCTCGTTGCTGTCGTCCCTTCAATACACTCTTGGTACGTAAATGTGTTGATGTATGTGGGCACGTCAATCATACCTTTGCCACCTTATTTATTCGTCTGCCATTTAATGTCTACAATCTCTACAGAGTTCTTGTTAATTGAAGGCAATAACCTTAAAGGCGACGCTGGGCCAGTGTGCGATGGTTTCGCTGCAATACGTGAATTCTATTCCGCAGATTGCTTCGAAATCGGGTGTTCATGTTGCGATGTTTGCTGTGTGGATAGTGACAGCGATTGCAATGATAGGAATTGGTTGATTGATGCCGATCCCATTTGGGAACTGGGATTTGAACGGGTATGGCCCACTGATTTGATCAATGTCGGTTCGTACACTATCAGTTTCAATGGAGACATTCCATAACGATGCGACGACGTGGGCTTTGAGATGGCCATTCATTGCAACTAGCTAGCCTTGTACCAGGTAGCATCCTTGTAGATAGTGTAAACCAACTGCTAGCCTTGTAGAAAAAGCTAAGTCGAAACCAAAAGAGATGTAAATCAAATTTGAAGGAGGCGGGAAAGCATCTTGAAGCTCGAAAGCCTCCAGGAGCTTCAGACCAGTATCCGCTTTTGATTGTTGGGATGTTTGGAAAGCATTCAGTTGCTTTGGCAGCAGTCAAGTCGGCGGATCACGAAACGATATGGACCTCCTTGCTTGGATCACGGCCAGGTCAAAACCAACCGGGATGTACTTTAAAAGAAATATCCGGACATGACATGGCTAGGTTCACGAAGCCTGGAGCCAGACCTCAGAGCGGATAGATCCAGACTACCTCCAATCCCAAATGGACCAAATGCTACGGTAGACAATTCAGAAATGCGCTTCGTGCCCAGGTTCATTCGATGGCTTCTTTCGCATCGATTGCCAAGTAGGATACTCAAGAAGATATCATACAGGAGACTGAACAAGGGAGCCATTAATCGGACTACCTTTTCGAACCTTACTGTATAATAATCCTCTTAGTGGTGTGATGATGGACAACCAAAATGTTCCAATCGGTCCCAACGAAGCAGTGCTTCAGTGGTTCGTAAGTACGTAGCGAACTGCCACAACTTTATCATCAAGTTGTGACCGACCGCTGTTGACGGCGACTAGCTAGTGACATGTACCGAAAGGATACAACTGACCAACCGAAGAACGCAATGCATAAACGCGTAGGTTAGTTAATTAGTGTCTCATGACACCTGCTGCCATATTGTTCGTTGAAAGGAAATCTAACTAGCCATCACTTGACTCATGCGATTGCAGGTACCGTTCGAGCTGGCTAGAACTCTTTCGAGAACATCGGAACGTTTCCAGTTGAATTTCCTTTTAGAAGCCGGATATCGGAGCTGTCTTGCGTTAAAGCCGACCCTAACCGCAACGCCCAACGACACACGACACATGGAAAACTGTCGTGTCGTGTGACACCGCGCCTTATGGTACACGACACCGACATGTCAGAGGTGGTGCAAAATGCCAGCAAAGCGGCACTCGTCATCCAATCAAAACAAACAGAGCCACTGACATCACCATGTGTGTGACACCAATGAAATGCCAATGATCGCAGCTCACTTTTTGAGATAGGGTATGCTCTCTGTGGCCAGCTCGCAGTTAAAAGCTAGCAATTATCTATTCTATTGCACTACGCTAAAAGCTAGTGTAAAGATCTTTCGAGTGTTTTGAGTTTGAGAGAATGAAAGTTATGAGAGGATTAGAAAGCTATGAAAACTAATCAACGAGAGAGATCCACAATCAAAGGATCGTAGATCTGAACTCCCGCGGGAGACTGTAGAGTGTGATAGAGTAGGTTGCGGTAGCAATCCTACTCACTCCACGATCCAAAAACGGAACGCGTGGAAGATTCGTCTAGCACTTATCTAGTAGCGTGGAAGTACTCCACGTTGGCTAAATATCTAGAGCGATGTTTCATCATCAACCTAGTATGACTAGAGCGGTCATTGAGAACCCTGTCTCCAATGACTATTCGCGAAGGATTACGTCATGAGTCGAACTCAGACCCTATCTAGGATCGAGTCGCGAATAAGGCTAAGAGCCGTGTATTGCATTCGCCCCCTGACAAGGGTCACGGAAGGCACGACATCAGTCGGACAAGGAGAACATATAACATATGAATTAAAGTGCGGGGCACTCTCCGGAGATTGGATGTAGACATGTGCGTCGCACGATGGCAATCCTACAAGGGGACAAGGCTTTGTATGGGTGTAATACCTAATGTTCCAAGTCTGGTAAGACTGTGCCGCTACTGGCGTAGTATGTCGGAGCCGTACAGTGCCATTGTTTTTGACTCGGTCTGTGTGTGGTAAGGGACCTTGTGCGTTGGCTGACCGTACTAACGGTTCTGATACTGATGAATCCTCATAGTATCGTGACATGGTGTTGATGAGGGCACGTGCCTTTTTCCCTTATCGGTGTTTTCTGGATAAGTCGTTGGCGACGTTCCTTAATGTATTTCCGGTTTGCTTTGAAACGGATGTGGTGAGTTTGTCCGATTGACGCGCGTGAACTTGCGACGAGTCATGTTCATCCGGAGATCTTCTCGACCTCTACGCCGGACTCACGTTCTCTGTCCATGACGACCTGTCATTGGATACTGGGTAACCCACGTCTGTTTCAGAACGATGGTTACTCCGTCTGCTGTCTTTGGAGAGACCTTGGTAGTTCATTGGTCCAATGAATCCACGAAGTTCCTTCTGTTGGTAGGAAGAGCGATAGCTGGATCGCATCTTTATCTTTTTAGTTAAGGGTGGCTTCCTTCTCGAGAAGTCCAATTGTCTAGATACTCCAGTTCTCCTATCGGAAGCCTTGGTAGTGTTGATTTCAATCCCGACTTCTTGAGGTCTTTGGGGAAAGGTCATCCTACTGTTCAAGCGATCTGCGGATCGACGTCCGTTAGGATGAGTTGATCATCAATGTATGCACGAACATTTTCTAAGTCATGCATGGTGTTTTCATCTTCCTTTGAAGATGTCGGGACTATTACATAGGCCATTGGCAACCTCTGTACATCGTGCTTTCCTCTCGGGAGTGCAATGGTATAGTGTTGCTTCAGTGATGTGACAGCTGATGTGGTAGTGTCCCGTGGTTCAGGTCTAGACTGGAGCGCACTTGAATCCATCTAGTTCAAGAGCATGTCCTGTATTTTTGGATAGGATAAGGCTTCCGCTTGTTCCGTTTGTTCGGTTCCCGAAAATCAGAGATGAATCTTGCAGATCCTCTTTCTTGGAATGATAAAATGTGGTGCGCCCACTTGGAACTATTCACCTTCTTGAGTATCCTGTGCAATACACGGCTCTTAGCCTTATTCGCGACTCGATCCTAGATAGGGTCTGAGTTCGACTCATGACGTAGTCCTTCCGAATAGTCATTGGAGCAGAATTCTCAATGACCGCTCTAGTCATACTAGGTTGATGATGAAACATCGCTCTAGATATTTAGCCAGCGTGGAGATTCCACGCTACTAGAAAATGCTAGACGAATCTTCCACGCGTTCCGTTTTTGGATCGTGAGAGAGTAGGATTGCTACCACAACTACTCTATCACACTTACGTCTCCCGCGGGAGTTCAGATCTACGATCCTTTGATTGTGGATTCTCTTCGTTGATTAGTTTTTTCATAGCTTTCTAATCCCTCTCATAACTTTCATTCTCTCAAACTCAAAACACTCCGAAGATCTTTACCATAGCTTTTAGCGTAGTGCATTTTGTTTAAAAACACAATAGCTTCAGCTACCCTCAACCTATTCTTCACCATGAAGATTGCTAAAGACGCATACAACAGCTTCGAGTCCAAGCTGCGTGACAAACCAATCCTCCTCTCATCGACCTGATGATGAATGCGAAATCGACGATTCTCCCTCTACCACCTACAAACTTCGCACTGTTCCAGCAGATGCTAACAGCGCCAAGATACACCTTCAGGGTCCAAATCATCAATGATCTGAGACTCCACGTCAAACCATCAAGTGGCTGGACGAATGGAGAAGGTCTTCGTCGGGCTTGCAATTGCTACGCCTGACGACAAACAAACCCCTCAAGGAGATGACTTCTACTCTGCAAGAGCAGTACGAATCTAGCTGTGCAGGCCATCGTGAAATACGTTGAAATGCTTGCCAGATTCAGTCAACGGGATTGTCCACGCGATTGTACGTGGTGGCGAAGACGAGCCACTTTCCAAGCACGTTTCCAGGCTGCCTGGAACGGGGCAGCTCACCTGCTTTGGACGACGTGACAATACGTTTGGCATAAATGCTGTATCGAAGCGGTCTGTCCCTACAGGCGCTTGAAAAGCAGAAACGCTATGCGCCGCAAATGCGTAAGCCTGCTGATATGTGCTACTCGGGCTTATGTCAAAACCTCAGTCGGAGAACCGATGAACTCCTCGTCTACCAACCTTTTGGACCCAACCAAACGTTGAACCATGACGAAGTCATTGAATTGTTTGTCATGGAATTCACGCTCGTGGAAGAAGAAGATGGGCGAAAACGACTTCGATCCTTTCTCAGCTCCTATCGGAGAAACCATTGGTTCTGCGAACGCATGGAACCCTCCGAAGACTTTGACAAGGGCGTGATGCAAAGCAAGTCTCCTACGAAGAAGAACAAAGACAAGAAGTACAAAGTTACTCGCAACAACGACGCAATCTTCCAAGAACGAAGAAAAAAATGGTGCGACTACCAAGAGTCCAGCACTCACAACACTGCTGACTGCACTGACCCTGAAGAAGCTCAAGGCCAAGTCCAAGTCCTGGTCTGACAACGATAACAAGCCGAGCGTACAACAAGAAAAACTTGGAAACGCAAGTTCGACGACAGCCAAGACTGACACCAAAAAGGAACTTTCTGTCCTCATGAAAAAGGTTTCCAACGCTGCGTCCAGGCTGATGAGAAGAAAAAGGAATGCAATCCATGTTGCTCAAGCGCAAGTCTGACAAACTCCGACAACGAGGAGCGACTCCTCTGTTGGATCCATCAACATGATGGACAAGAAATGGCCGCTGTCGACAAGGCACTTGCCGAATTACGACTTCAATTATTCGTACGGAGAGATTCTCCGTCTGAAGATTAGGCCATGGATGATGATCCAACGGACCCATGTTCCGATTTCTCATACCTAATTATGAAGATATCTCACTAAATAGTAAACAAGATTTGTTTCAACTAACGAAGTCTACGCAAATTAGATAATTGCCTTAGTAAATGATCAAATAGATACTGAGATCTATTCAGGCATCGTTAACTTCGTCCATGGCCAATCAACATCATCAACGTCGCACGACAAGAGACACTTGAAACTATCGTCTATGTTAGATTCTAACAGGCGACGAAGAACGAAAACCCGTAACCACTATGGCTAGAGACA